ATTGTCTCCCTGTGACCTGTGGTGCTGGGGGGGAGAGCAGGCAGCAGAGCCTCAGACAGCTCTGCCACTTCTGGAGCTCTTCTCATGCAAGAAATCATCTGGGTGTTCTGGTACTGCAACGCTGCCTTAATTGAAATAAGCTGTTTGCTGCTGGGGGAAGAGATACTCTTTATTAAGCAGAGTCTCAGGTGTCAGTTTGTCTTTGAATTCCCAATGTCTACTGCATAGCTGCCTTCTGATAAGCGTGGTTGAATTCTTCCTGCTCAAATTAAGTAACTAGCCTTAAAGGAGAGCCTTTGGTAGAAGCTGGATTGTCGTCTCAGTTGCAGTGTAGGTATTAATTTGGTAAATGTTCCTCAGCCTTTGTCCTACAGTGATAAAAAAAAAAAACTGGCAAAAGTGGCTCTTCTGGAAAGACTTGAGGCATAGGAGAGAGTGTCAGCAGAGCTCCACAACTGCATTTTGGAGCAGACAACAGGAACTGTCCTGTTTCCAATGACACTTTGCTTGGGATGGATACTGATGTGCAGCGCTGGCTGTGTGGTTCTTGGAGCTACAACAGGATGGGTGGTAGCACAGGACTGGCTTTCCATTTATCTCAGGATTAACAAAACCTCTCCAACCTCGTGTTCTAATTTAGGAGCATCCTAGCTCAATGTATCAGTTTTGAGCTGTCATGCTATGAGCTGCAGTGATTCAGTGTATGACTGAGCAGGAATCAAGTTGAAATACAGCCAGAGATGGCTGGGATTCCAACCCAGGTGTCCTGTGCCTGCCATTCAGTGCCACGGGTGCACATGGATCCTACTGAGCCATCACTGCACCCGTCTCAATGCCAAAAGGGGAGGAGGGGTTAGAGGAGGAGGTGGGTATTGGCTTTCCCTGGAAAAAGCAGGACAGGGACCCTTGCCTTTGCTGTGTTGAACACCCCGTCCTGTTTTGCAGGCAGAGCACGAGCTGCGGCTCACTCAGACCGAATTTGATCGACAGGCAGAGGTGACACGTCTGCTGCTGGAGGGGATCAGCAGCACACATGTGAGTCCTCCTAGGAAGCTGGGGTGGGGACTGAGAGGCTCTTGGCTCCTTTGTAGAAGGCTGCCAAGGGGACGATGAGCCCTTCATCGGGAGCAGACATGGAAGAGCTCATAAATGTAGATGTTACAGCAACGTCCTCCAAAGGCTTGGAGTGCTCACACTAAAAACATAATGAAGCACGCACAGGCAGTGCCACTGGGATGCCCAGCCCTCAAGGTGTTTCTGAGGCACAAAGGCCTTGTTCTTCTCTTGTGCACTAGCCACGTGCACATTGCTGGAGTGCCAGGAACAGCCTCGTCTCTCTTATCACAATTGGCCTTCTGCAGATTTCCCAACTTGACAATAAAAATATTCAAGTCAACCATGTAACTCCTGTAAATACCGGCCTACACACATCTGCTGCCCTTAGGGTTAGGTGGTAGCAGCACAAATTGTCCTGGCACCAAACTCAGCCTGGCTTCTGGTCCTTCTCCATCCAGGTGAATCATCTTCGCTGTCTCCATGAGTTTGTGGAGTCTCAGACCAACTACTATGCTCAGTGTTATCAGTACATGCTGGACCTGCAGAAGCAGCTGGGCAGGTGAGACAAGAAATGGCTTTTGCTTCCCCAAGGGTTACTCCCTCATCTGGTCATCTCCAGTTCAGGCCTCCCTCCTCTTTGACGGAAGCTTAAGAGCCCCCTCCAAGCTCTGACATAGCTTCTGAGCTTACAGAATGGCGATGAATGCTAACACATCTAGAGCAGGCTTTACCATTAGATTCATCTGAGATTTATACGTTCATCTCAAAACACGATGGCCAAGAGTCTGAATGTTCTTCTAAATTAGTTAAAAGACACATGAGACAAATTCCTGTTGCCAAGCAACAAGCCTAAGCGTGCTCAGCTGCAGCAGTAACCAGTTCCACGCTGCTGTCAGCACATCCCCATGCTGCTGGCAGGCCTCTTCTGTCTGTTACCTGTTATGCTGGTGGTCTGACCCAGGAGGGACCTGTCTGATCACTCACCATTCCTGTTTCATTCTTTTCCATGCTTGCAGCTCCAAAGGAGAAATGTAAGTAAAACGTTACACAGGACCGGTTCTAAGAGCTCTGCTCTGCACCTCAGCCAAACCATGGAGTCTTTGCAGGCTCACTGCCAAGGCCAGCAAGGACCAGAGCTGCACTCCCCTCGTGCAGAAGGAGAAATCTATAGATAAACAAGACCTGGCTTCATTGCCATCTGTGTAAAGAGCCCCCAAAGCCTCCAGTTGCAATATCTCTGATGCTACACTCAGCAAGTTTGCTGACAGTCCTTTAGCAGGACGCTGGAAGAAAAGTAAGCAGACAAGCATTACTTGTTACATAGCCTCAGCATCTGAGCACTGAGTGCACTTCCCTACTTAAAGGGCATCGTAGGGACGTTCCAGCTGTTAGTGGAGCTCTGCAGCATCACCTCTGCACTCTGGCTACTGAAAGGAAGAAGTGTTTCTTGGTTCCTCCCACGAGAGCCTTACTCAACTCTGCTCTTCTCTCCCTGTGTAAGATTTTCAGGCACGTTTGTAGGGAATGCAGAATCCACATCTCCACCCCCAGCTGCTGCCTCTCCTCCAGCTGTCGCTGCCGCCACTCTCCCCGCTGTGCCTACTATCCCAGTTGTCCCCACGATTGTTGGGGTGCCCAATACTGTGGCAGAGAGCGTCCTGAACCCAAATGAAGTCAAGCCTCCTGCCAGCGGGACGCGGAAGGCCAGGGTCCTGTATGACTATGAAGCAGCTGACAGCACCGAGCTGGCACTCCTTGCAGATGAGGTGAGTACCTTCCCTTCACACTGAACGTTGCTCTGATTGCCTACCATTCTGTTGCATGCTCTGTTGGTTTTCCCTGCCCCTAAACCCTCTCTGTATGGAACTATTAATAGAATCTTTTCCTTGACATCCACTGAATTGCAGTGAGTTTGCACTCGTGGCCATGTTCACACCAGAAAGGCCTTGTCTTCCTACTGGAATATCCTGTTGTACCCAGCTAACAAAACACCCCAACCTTTACAGTGTTCACTGAGACCCTCAAACCCAGCTAGCATTTGAGAGCAGTGGGACAAGCTGCTGGCTGGAGGCCTGGTTTAATCATGCTGAGAACAAAGGAAATTCAGCAAGCTGTAAACTGTTTTGGTGACTGTAAACTTTTGTCTTCAGAAAGGATGACATGGCACTATCAAGACATCCAGGAGGCAAAAATGCCTTTTCATTCTCCAAATTGACTTAATGTAACAGGGACTTCAGTGGGCAGTACATCTTCTGTTAAAGCTGCAAATACTTCCAGGAAGGCTCCAGGGGAAAAAAGCGCAGATGCCTGCTAAATGAACTTCATGAATTAACTTGCTGTTCTTTAAGTACACATCTGACTGAACTTTTGGCTCTGTCTGCAGAAGATCCTATCTAATGCTGTCTTCTCTCCACAGATGATCACTGTGTACAGCCTGCCAGGCATGGATCCAGACTGGCTCATAGGGGAAAGAGGGAACCAGAAAGGGAAAGTTCCTGTCACTTACTTGGAACTGTTAAGTTAAACGTCCCCCAGGAAGAAGAATGTACAAACAGAATGCACCCCTCATCTCCTGGCACTTCTAATGTGGATTTCTTCATCAGAGACCATTGCTCTCTTCAGGGTTGGCACTCCATTGCTAATATGGGAATTGTGGGGAAGAAGTGGTAAAACTGTTACAGAAAGGTTGTGGGAAAAGGCCAGTGGCACCTGAGAATTCATAAATACCAGTGCAGCCTGCTTTGAGGTTAGTCTTGATGGTGCAAGATTCCCTGATTACTTTTTCTACCCTGATCTAGTCTTGTTTATCACCATGGCTTTCCCAGGGCCAGCAATCTGTCTCCCTCAGCTGCTGCTCATGGAGTTTAAGTTACGCTTCCCTTGTGTTTGGTGTCAGCTAGTGCCTGTCTGCCCCTCCTCTCCTCTGTTCTTCAGCAGTAGAAAAGCCTGAGTCAAACCACTGAGCATTCCAGCGGGAAAGTGACCCACACAAACCCTCTCATATAAGCTAGCTCTTAAGGAAGCTACATTTAAGAATTAAGAGCCAGTTAAATCCAACAGGGAGAGCAGTAACACAAGGCTTTCTAAGAGCTGTGCTGCTCCAGTGGTGCCTGATGGCTTTCATTTGTACTGTCCTCTGAAGCTGGAATGAAATGTCTTCGAAGACCAACCTAGTAACATAGGGCCTGTATGTCAGAAATCAAACCTCAGTGCAAGGGACCATGCATCTTGCTTGCATTTCCTCTGAAAAACTACTCGGACTGCAAAGAGTTTACAAGCCTTCTTACAAGCTTTGCTCCCTGTGTTAATTGTCCTGGCTTTTCTTTCAGTGTCTGTTCCAGGCATGTTTTAGCCTGACTTTACTTTCACCCTAGATGACTGATGTAACCAACACCTTCCCTCCCATCTCAGCAGTGAGCAGACTTGGTGCATCCCAGTACAGTAAAGAGCAGTCCCACTTGCTGTTATCTCCAAAGAGCCATTCCTGGCTGTACACACATCCAGCAGCTCAGGCTGCCCTCGTGCATGTGCTGGGTTAGCTCAAAGGGAGTGCTAAGGTGTGTATGCATTTTAATCCTATAATGCTCTTTTTAGCTAGAGCTCAACTGAAGGACTGCTGTTGCTGTGTAACTAGTTTTCCACTTAAGCTGGATTGAAGAAAAGTTCACCTGCACCAGGCTTTCTGTTCACTGCCTTCCCCTCGGTATGTCAGAACTAACTTTGCTTGTTTATTATCTTTTGCACTTTCCCCAATGGTATTGTGACCACTCTAATGTAACAGGGCACTGAGCACCTGTGTATGTAGGGCTCATGGTTTTCAGCACTTATTTGCCAATAAATGAACTGCCTGACCTCCTGCCTCAGTGTCTGCCGTGCGCTCAGGGCTGCTCCAGTGTAACTGCAGCTCACAGGGAGAGGAGGGATGCAGGTCAGGCAGGAGCTGTGCCATCCTGGTCTTGGAAGCTGGGTGTAAAAGCAAAACAAAGCTCCAAATCCTCCCTGAAACTCTCAATGTGCCTTAAGCTTATTAATGTCTTTCAGTTCCTTTCCAGATGACACATCTCAGTTGTACTACAGATTCATGAATTCTGAGAAATAGGTCCTCCTTAACCTAAAGCAAAAATAGGGCAGCAGAATGACTTTAGCTGCTGAGAGACTGGGAATGTTATCCAACATCTAACAACCCTTTTTGTTGTTATGGAAACTACCTCTGCTGCTAATCTAAAACCTTAAAGCCTCGTCCCTAGCCCCCAGTTGGAAAGGAGGGATAGAAGGAACTCCTGGGAGATGAAGCCATTACAATGCTCTGTAATGTAGCAATAACTCTGCTTTTCTACAGTTTAACAAAGCTAACGGGTAATCAACTTTCACTGTTTTCGTTTTACAATTGCAGTGATACAGCTTCACTGTAGATACCTATTCCCAAGTCCAGTTACAACCCTGTTATTCCTCTCTGTGGTGTATTACAGAAAGAACAGCAGCAACACCTAATGATGCAGAAAATGCACCTCAGGCAGAAGGAAGTCTACCAAGTCTACCTAGCACCAGCACTCCTTTCCTTTGTCATTAGGAAAGGCACAGGAAAAGTCTGGTGGTGTTTCAGGTTTGGAACTAACAGGCTGTCTGTAAAAAGACTGCACTCCTGTCTGCTTATTTGCAAGTGTTATGGTGAGCCACCCATAACTCCTACAGGAGATTGCAGCCCCCTGACCCAAAGGGTTCCCCTCCAGCTTAATACTGCTCCAAGCCCTTCTGTGGCTGAGAGGCAGGTAAAGGTCAGTTAAGAGATGCAATGCTTCTATCTAAAGAAACAGTACAGCTCTAAATACAACCAATTGCATCTGCCACTGTTTGCAGTGTGGCACCAAGGACTTCTGCCTAGCCCCCTAAGTTCTCACTCTAATGAGTTTCTGGAAGTGCCTCTCCTTCCACATGGAGACTTGGAGCTAGCTGGCTGGAGTCAAGGGCAAGTAAAACTACATCAGATGTGTGCTAGAATATCACCATCCCTTCAGCTTACCAGGAAAATAACAACCCTTAAAGCAACACCATCCAGTACTATCACTGGTCTCTCTTAAAAGCGTAAAAATTAAAAAGGTTCTGACCGGGAAAGCAACCAAGAATTTCTTTAGGATAGAGCTTTAGGTGGGTGGTTCACAAATTACATTTCCATTTGATTTCTTGCCTTAAAGAAGTCTGAGTTTCAGAGATTATTTTATGCAATAAGCACTCACCTTCTCTTCCTGTCTCCATCACATGTTGAGCTTCGGAACCTGAAAGAGTTTGTTGATCAGCTTGAGAGAGACAACTGTGATAGAATGTCACTGCAACCAACTCCAAGTCCTAGCTGGAACTCCTGCTCCAGCAGCAGTGTGGACCTGTGCACAGAGCAACCTGGCAGAAGAATCATTCTTAAAGAGTAGGGCATAGCAATGCTTGTTTAAAACCAACAAGCTCCCCAGTGTGCCAGAGAAAGAGGTGGTGTGGGAAAGCCAAAGGAATCAACCTTTGATATAATCTCTTCGACCTGCACTGTCACTCGCAAGCCACAACTCACCTTGCTGTTAGACAGAATCACAGAATCACAGTACTTCAGCTCAACTGACACAGAACTTCACAGAAGATGCAGAGCCTGGTGTTGCAGGATACAAGACCACAAACCCAGCTGCTGTCTATAAAGGTTTTAATATCAGTATAAATAGGCCACAGTTACAAAAAAATTGCAAGACTAGAGCAATGGAATTTTGACTTAAAAACTTTGAGTGAGGCCTTGCTCTTCAGAAACACACAACACACAGACTGAAGGGTGAAGGGGAGGCGTGAGCACACATACACCATCTTGCCTTGAACCACTCAGTACAAAAATAGTAGAAAGATGGTCTCTGAATTGCTGGCTGATCCCTAGGTTGTGCCTTAACTGGACTCTGACTGGGAGGGAGGGGCCGACTGCACCTTGTGTTAATAGCAGAGTTAATGCCCAGAGGAGGGTCTGTCCTCTCATTCCATCAGCCAGAGCTTCCCCAGCTGAGGTACAAGCTATAAAAATAAAGGTTTTGACTGTTCAGCACTTGTACCTGGCCAGGATGCTCTTGCAGATGGAGCAGGCAGGCTGTGCACTGGTCAATCTGAGGAGCCCCTCGCAGTTCTCCTTACATTCACTGCTCTGCAGGAGTTCAACAGGATCATGTTGCTGATGTTACAGCTTGGTATCCAACGCTGCCCAAATCAGGCCTCCCTCCCTGCCCCAGTCCTTGTTACAAGCTCTGCCAAGGGTGATGCTTTCTGTGGTGGATATGAATCGTTCTGGTGCAAGTCCTGGAAAGGGAGGCTGTGGCAGAACAGCATCTATCTCTGCACGTGCCGGACAAAGGCCTGCACGAGCTGAAACAAAGGCTCCTGCCCCTCAGGCCCCAGCTTAGAGGCAGACTTCCCCTGGGGAGAGGGAAGAACCCCACTGGCAGGTGAGGAGGGACCACCACGGCGGAAATAACGAGACAAGCTGGAAAGCAGTGTACTCTGAAATTAGAAGATATGATGAGTTAGTTCCTTCCAAGCATATATATTCCTCTCCCTCCCAAAGCGAGGTGCTGGTGGCACAGGAACAGATACCCAGGGCCCCCTCATGCAGGGGAATGAATGGGCTGTACCAGGCAGACGTAGGACTTTTTCCCACAAAACACACTTGGAATGAACAGTGAGAAAGAATGGTACAAGCTGCTTACCAGCTCAGAGCTCAGCTCCTGTTTCATCCGCTGCTTATCGCGGGGATGCACAGCTGGGTCTCTCAAGTACCGAACAGCCTGGGAGATGAGCAGGTAGAAACAGTTCTCCATTGTAAACATGAGCAGAGACCTGTGCAAAGAAATGTAGATCAGCAGGAGACAAATACCCTATTTTCAGATCACACAGCCTGGGAAAGACTTCACCTAGAGTACATAGGAAGGACCACTGCTGCTGCTCAGACTGGGCTCAGGCAGTGACAACAAAAGCTAAGGTCTACAGAGCAGAAATTCCCACTTGCCCTGCATGCTTCTAACAGGCAGCTGAACTCCTATCATTCAGAGTGAGAAGTTCTGAAGCTACCCTAATGCTATAAATCCCAGTTATGACCTGAGGAGCACTGGGTTCTGCCTCTTGGCCACAACTAAATAAAAGACCTAGAAACTTACTTGAGAGTTTTGGTTCCCTCTTGCATATTCAGCCCTGCAGCCTGAGGAAAAGGTTCCTTCTTCTTATCCAACTGAAAAAAAGACAGCTATTGGACACAGCACATACAGAAGCTACTTTTCAAAATATTATAATTAAGTTGTCTGAGATTACTGCAAGAGCTGTGCTTTCCCAAACACAGATGGCTAGTACCTCTCCTAGCATGTTGAGGGCCACATTGACTGTGGCAAGGAGGGTCCCAAAGGAAGGTGCAACATCCGAATCAAAGGCTGGTGTGGTGAAACTCAAGACAAAGAGCACGTTGTACTCAGCAAGGTCCAGTGACTGTGGAGAAAAGAGGACTGTGTGACCCCTGAGGACATGACTATGCTACTGTCATAGTAACAGGAATATCTAGTCCCTGTATAGAAAACTAGTAAAGAAAACTTTTTGTATAGAAAACCCAAAGCACTGAGGTCACTTCTGCAATCTGTTACGCAGCTGGAACAGCAAAGAGCACTCTGCACAGTTCTGCACATGGAGACTGTAGTCTGTTCACATGAGCAAGCAGAGCCTTACAACTCTCAGACCGTGAAGCTGAGCGGCAAGCTAAAACAATGACTGCTTCCAGATTGTTTAAAAAAAAAACAAAAAAACAGGTAACCTACGGGCAGTTACAGGAAGTAACTGTCCAAAAGAAAGCAGCAGGACATTACCAGACTCAAGGATTAAACCCTACTTGGCTTAACTTGGAGACCAGGCCACTAGGTCACACCTATGGGAGAACAAGAGAGTATTTCTTCTGAAGACCAACAAGCTGAGGACACAAACCTAGCTGGCTCTGCTCCAATAAGGCTGCACATACAGTGCTGTGCAATCACACCACAGCTCAGCCAAGCTTTCTTCTCAGATCAGTGCCTGAGAACTGAGAGGAATTCCTGCTTTGTGCAGCAGAAGAGCAGACATGTACAGCAGGGTTACTGTCTCAAGCAGGATGGGCTGTGCTTCTCTTCATAGACCCAGAATGTCACTTGTGACGATGGAAACCTCCCTGTTCAGGGAGCAACATCTCTTACCTGATCGAGAAGTATCTGGCAGACATCGGGGGTGAAGTGGCGCAGAGCAGCAAGAGATTTGCTGAGGATTTTCAAGAGGCTGTACTGCACCATAAGCAGTGCCTTCTGCTCTGCTGCCTCTGACTCAGGGCTGGGGTGTTTGGAGGAGGTTTGGGGATTACGCTGCACTCGTGTAGTCACACTTGATGGAAGGGAGTCACCATTTTTTGTCTGTAGAGAAAAGTGTCTTAGATACATTCATGACTGTTTTGCATTAAGAATGATGCTTTCGAGGAAAACTGCTACAAGCAAAAAGGAGGAAATAAGGCACACAAACTCTGTCACCTACTAGAAGCATGAGAACTCACACTTCGTGCACAGCAGGGGAGGCTCTGCATTCTAAGAAAGCAGCTGCAGAGGCTCCTTGGATTTCACATTCCAGAAAATCAACACAGCAAGCCTCAGCCATGCTGAAACAGCACATCAGTAGCAATGCATTATCTCTACCTCACGTTCAACAAAGGATTCTCCAAGAACAAGAGCTGTATCTCTTAAACAAATTAAACCAGATTATGGACATCAGGTCAGTAGTGTCTTAATGGCCCTAGAGAGCACTACAGCAATGCCGCTTCCTGCTTTGCAGGCAGCTCTAAAATGACAGTGGCACACTGAAGCACAGGCTGCTGTTTCTCAAGGTCTGACCTTTCACAGTCTCAATACTATCTGAAGACGTTTTTGCTGTGGAAAGATGCAAATCCTAGCTATTGATGATTGTTGGTAATCACCACTGGGAACTGGATACTGAATAACATTTGCCTTTCAGCATGGAGCATGAGCACACGATGCTCCCCACTTTCAGCCTTAGGGTCCCCATCCTCACCTGCAGGTAGTGCTGGAGCATTTTGCGGCTGTGCAGGAGGGAGGTACAGGCCTGACACAGGTAACACAGATTCACCTGAAATAAAGAAGGTGAGGGAGAAATCTCTTCAAAGATTAAAGCCCATCCAGGCAGAAAGTGTGACATAAAGGAAAGAGCATAAAGAGCAGTAATAAAAATAAATGTAGTGCCACTTTCTCTTACTACATCCAATTTCCTGCATTCTAACACGAAGTGTTATCTACAACAGTATCCTAACTCCTACCTGCATGTCCCTCATTAGCTGTGGCAGGTGGAAATGCCACTCCTTTGTGAAATTTGAGAGCTGGAGAATGAAGCCAACAGTGTGATCAGCCTCCTCCAGACAAGCCAAGCTCTGTACTGTCCGTACTGCATTCAGGCACTGGAAAGCAGAGAGAAGTAAATCAGGACATTGAGGGCTAAAGCACGAAGTCCACTCTTTTCTCGAAGACAAAAAGCAGAGATCTGCCCTTATGGGCAAACAATGCACTCACTGAAAGTAGTTGCACAGCACATGGGGCAGAGACTCAGAGCACTTTACATTCTTAGAGGTCAATGCATTTTGACAGCAGGACAAGGGGAAATGGTTTTAAGCTGAGGGAAGGGAGATTTAGGTTGGATGTCAGGGGGAAATTCTTTACGGAGAGAGTGGTGAGGTACTGGAACAGGCTGCCCAGGGAGGTTGTGGATGCCCCGTCCCTGGAGGTGTTCAAAGCCAGATTGGATGGGGCCCTGGGCAGCCTGGTCTAGCATTAGGTGGAATGGTTGGTGGCCCTGCACGTGGCAGGGGGGTTGGAGATTCATGATCCTTGAGGTCCCTTCCAACCCTGGCAATTCTGTGATTCTGTGATTCTGTGATAAGCTGTGCTGCTGTATGAGGAGACAGCTACTTGTCTAAGGAGCCTGCTTTTGAACAGCACCTACATACAAACAGCACTCTTCAGCACACTGACACAAACTGCCCAATGCAGCTATTTCAGTATTGTAGGACCTGAAAGCTTGCCAGCCTGAATGGTGATTGAACCCTGGCCACAGCATTTTCATTACTAGAGCAAGGCAGAGCTGAAGTCATCTCTAAGAACAGCTCTTAGACTCTTCTTTTCAAAGCAGATAATCACCAAGTAAGATCCCACCAAACCCTTGATTCTCCTCCTGTGTTGAATAAGTGTATTACACACCTGTAGCAATGTTATAACCCCAAGAGTGAGTGGGACAAAAGATGGTGACTGCCCAGCTCTAACAACTATCCTAACAACCATCCCTGCCTGATTTCATGGCCTGCAGACATTCTGCCTTCTCTCAGTTTTGAACTGTTTCTACTATAAACCTTTCTGAGACAGGAGCTGTGTCTTTTCAATGCTTCTACAGTTACTGACACATTTCCACTGCTGCTGCAACACAGAAGCCAAGTAAACCATCGCAGAGGAGGTATGTGACATACCTGAAGAATCCTTTCTTGATGGACACCAACAAAGTCCAATGCTTCTGTCAAAAAGTTGTATCTGAGTGTCTTGAGGAGACGCTCCATCAGTGACATGGAGAGGCGATAGACCCCAGGCCAAGAGGGAGCATCCTGGGACTTCCGAGACGAAGCAGATGTCTGCACAGACAGAAAAACAAACGACTTCTTTACACCACTGCCCAGCATGCCACACACCACAAACCCTTCACATCATTTTCAAGTCTCCAGGTCCTACAGGAGATTGCTGACCCCTGAGCCAAAAGGCTCCTCTCCAGCCACGGCCTGCAAGGCAGGGCACAGCAAGCTCTCCTGGCACACTGCCACCAAAAAGAAGCAGCACCCACCTGAATGGCTCCATTACTGCTGAGCTGGTACACACTCAGAAGGGGCAGGCAGACACTCTGTGTGACACCAGCCCCAGCCACTGCTGCTGCTCCCTGCAAGGCACAGAACAAACTACCATTAAAATCTGCAGGGTTCTCCCTGCTCTAAGACTGAAGAGGCTCCTTCTGCATTAACTATTTCTGTCCCTTGTACTGCCACAATCCTTTTAGAGAACCTTTGTCACACATTCTTCTGTACTGCTAAAAAATTAGCAACAAGAAAAGCAACACTGTTCTTGCAATAAAATCTAGCCTGCACAGCTGTACTGTGAATTCCATTTCCATGTCACCTGGTTTGGTAAATACCTAATCTTTGAGAAGAGCTGGCTTTGGAATGGCCTTCATTTCACTTAAAGCCCTACACTAAGTTGAATTTGTAATAGATAAGTAACGGGAAACCAGGTTCCAACACTTAATACTGTTTTAAATAGGCTGGATAATCTGCACTGTAGAAGAATACATTCAGTGAAAATGCCTGTTCTAAATTACAGGTATGGTCTGGCTGCCTCAGATCTTCCATCTGAGACATCCCATTAAAAAGAAGAAGCAGGCAAAACAGGGAGGCGTTAAGACAGGACCTACTGCTTGCCAGCTTCTAACAACCCCTTTATCTACAGATCACTGTGCAGCTGCATCGCAGGCACAATAATGAGATACACAGAGCCTATTAAAAATGTATAGTTATATGCTTTCTTTTCTCTGCATCTCTCACCTGTTGTGTCCTTGCTAAGGTCAGCAGCAGATGTAATGAGGCCTCTGTGAAGTGAAGGTTTTGTTTAACTCTCAGGCTGATCTCCAAAGCAGTAAAGATGGTAGGAAGCACAGGGACTTTCCTAGTAATCTGCAGCCAGTAGTCTCCATCATCATCAACTTCACAGAGCTCTTTTGCAAGATGCAGACCCAAAACACAAACCTGGAAGGGAGAACAGGGGATACGCTTGACACGTACACCGAGAAAGAAAGAAATCTTGCAAGCATTTCATGTGATGGTCTGAAGTTCAGCCATTCTCAGAATCACATATTAAGGTGGCTGGTGTCCCTTACATTATACTCTATGTACTTTCTGACTCTCATATAAATTGTGATAATATTTCTTAGGACAGATCTGAAAGAGAGGCACAACAGCCAACTCCCCAGGCTGACATACGCCAAAATACCATGGAGCAATTCCCATGTAAGACCTGCCAAAGCTTCCTTTGGAGGCAGCAGGCAGCAAGGGGGGTCCCCAACACACACAGATCTTTTTGGTCCTTTACCCCATCTCGCTGGTCCTTATGTTTAACTCGGGAGGCATCATCTGTTTCCATGCTGTCCTTATCATCTGTGGCATCCCCAAAGGTCAGGCTGTGTCGAGTGTGATCAAAGAGTGCAATGACCTCATCCTGGAGTGTTTCACACACACTCAGCACCAGCTGGGAGTACTGAGGGATCTCATTCACTACAACACACATGGAACAGACAACAATTAGCATGCCAACCCTGTAGATTTAACTGGTAATATTACTGGGATACATTCTTTGGAGTTAATATTACTGTTTTTATTGCAGAACCCAAAGATAGAATGTGAGGAATTGTAACAAAGTTAGATGAATAAGGCTAGAAGGATATAATAAGTTATAAGATCACCATCTGAATCATATAAAACATAGTTTTCCCAAGAAGTCATTATCAGCTGATTACATTTCAAAGCAGAAAGCAAGCACTGCTATGGACTGACCATTCTGTAGCTGCTCCCAACAGTACTGCCTACCCATTTCTCCAGATTGCTGGCACCAGTCCATGGATGCAGTCTGCTGTCCATGAGCTGTATAAACACCACAGTCTCATGAAAACCATCACAACAAATTGCACCACCTTTTACTGCCATGACTGCAAATTCAAATTCATCACCAAATGCAAATGTTAAAAAACAGCAATAATTCTCCACTTAGTTTATTTTCTGAATGACACAGGCCTGCAGGGCCAGACAGTGGGACAGGGACTGCACTTCGATCAGGTAAACTGAGACATTCCTCAACACCACAATGCCTTTATATCTTAATTGCACAGCACAGAGAAATACTGTCCAGATTCCATTGTATTCAGTGCTACAGCAGTGTCAAGAGTCCTGCAAAGGACTGAAGTAACAAAGTAACAGTGTTGGTTTTTTTGTTTTGTTTAACAAAACACACCATTCTTGGGTTTCTGTCACTTGTTATCTGCAGGAAGTAATGTCACAACTTAAGGTCACTTGGTGACGCAGTACTGGGGTGTCCCTCCCACATCCACTGAGCTGTCTTCAAAAACACTCAGAAACTCTATTTTTATTTCCGTCAAACTGATCAAATATAGGGGTTCTTGCTGGGAAAAGACAAGAAAGGGAAGATATGCACACTGTGAAATATATATGCCTGAGATGAACAATACACCTCAGCTCTCCTAAAGCTGGTTAAAACAAAGTTTAAAAAGTGGAGATGTAGCAGAAGTAGCAACTATATTCTAGATCTTGCACTACAGCTAACATCACACACATTTTTATGCTGGTAACTCAGTAGCATTAATGGTGTATTCAGCCATGGCAGCATTGCTCTTGATGTTTGTACATACAGAACCTCACCTTTCATCTCCTTCATCTGCAGCACAGTGATAAGAGCTGAGAACACTTTGGCTTTGGTTTTCTCCATCATCTGCTGATCTGCCTGTAGTACTCCCTCCAGAATCTGCGTCAAGGAGTTTATGATTTTATCCACAGAACCCAACTCGCTGACAACAAAAAGGAAGAGCTCTTCAGATTAGACAAGATCCCCCAGTAAATATACTGGCTCGACTGAGCTGCGTGCATCATTGGTTTAGGTTCTTCCAATGAAACCTGGACAAGTCACTACTTCAGCCTCTCTAAAGACGTGCCATAGCACAGTGCAAATGCAGAGCTTGCTAGCTTGCTATCACAAAAGCTTTTTTTCATACACTTTTCACTAGAAAACAGGAAGTCAAACCATGTATGTATTGCTCTAAGGTCTTTCAGCAACAAACTACAGATATTTGCCATCTCAAAAGAAAACTTCATTATAACGCATCAGATTCCTCCCCAGATCATTAAGGGAAAATCACTAGAGCAAAACATTCAAACATACTCTAAGTTTTTATATTTAGCAGTGATCAGTAAATATCCATTGCAAAAGACCTACCTCTTCCACTGCTTCAGCAGGATGAGAAGAAGAGTACACAGCATAGAGCCCAGCTGCAGACAAGATACCGACGTGGGAACTAGAAGCTAAGAAGAAACGTCACAAGAGTTACAGGTGTAACAGTCAATGCACAGGTGCAATGCAAGAAATGCTCAGCACAAGCACCAACACCAAATGGTTCTTCAGCAGCTGGCAGCAACAGGGGAACCAGGGCCCTCTGCAGGCTCACCCAGTTACATCAAAAATGACACATTACACACACATGTATAAGAAGCTCAAGGAAAAACTTTGATTCAGACCAATTTCACAGGATCTAAAAGAAAAAAAAAAACCTACGATGGCAAGCAGCTGTAGAAACAGACCTCCTTACAGTACACATGAGATGAGCAATTGGGAAATTCAAGAACTTAGAAGAACTTGCACCTACCAAAGCCTTGGTCCCATTTAGCACATCCAGAAACAACTGCTGATGAACCGCAGGATCAGTGAGATGCATTATATCCGCCTATATCCACAAAAGCGAAGCTCAATCAAATGCAACAAAAGATGCAGCATTTTTCCACTCTAACATGGGCCTACTGTTCTGTTACTTGAAGAATTCACCCTATTTTGTATCCGCTGAACGATGCAATTTTGCAGAGATCACTGAAGTATGAGTTACCGAAGTTGGCAATGGCTAATTTCCCTGCTGGACCATTCACTTCACTAAGCAAAATCTCTTCAGGACTACAGAATTACTTTGAATTGCTATAAAAATTGTATACCACTCCCCCATGCTCGGACAGACAAAACATTAACTATCCTAAGCCTACACCATGCTTGTGCCAACTTGTGTTCTGACTGCATATATATAATAACTGAAATAAACAAGGGATTTTCACTATGATGTAGCTAATCCCTGAGAAGTTGACACTGCATTATTCAAAGTGTTAATATCAGATTATCACAAGAGATAAGAGAAAAAACCCACAAGGGTAGCTCTTACATGGCTAGTGGATATAATCAGCAGCATCCGCCAGGCTGAGATGAGCATCTGATATTCTGTCATGGAGGCACAGCTACTGCCCTCTGTCTCTGCCACATAATAGGCCAGTGATTTCACATATTCTGACCAATAAGCAAAGCGCTTTTTGGTGGAGAAATTCTTCAGCGTGTCTTTCAGGGACTGATCCAGGGAGCCCCTGACCAAATAAGGAGGAGAAGATATCTTCATTTATTCTTTGGTCAGAGAATACACTCCTTCTGAGACTCAGGTAGGAAAGCCAAAGGCACGGCTTGCAAGTGAAGGGTATTCCACAGATTAGACCTGTGCAGGGAATCCCACTTTTTGCATCACATTTTAGGAGAAAAGATGATCCCTGAAGAAAATCTACAATTTGTTTTGTTTTGTTTTTAATGGAAATTTTTGTTAATCCTGACTATACATTATATTAAAGGACAGTCATGCTCAAAAAACCAAACTCAAGTGTGAGGAAATGATTAAAATGTTATTCAGCAATCATTATGCACTTCGCTTATTTCACAATTTCTTCTATTAAGTATGGTATATTCTGATTGCAGGATACAAGGAAATACCAGCATTCTCACCTACAGCCTACAGAAACAGACCACAAACATACATTTGAATTTCCTACAATCACAAGATCACAATCTATGCAAAACAATTGCATAAAGTGATCTTGCAAAGACTGTACATCTCAATGCTCCCCCCATGTTTTCCCAGAATTACATGTATTTATTTCCTGAAAGCCTGCGTGGTCTATTAGAACTAACACACAAAGTTCAGACTTTAGTAGAGGGATGAAGGAAAGACTGCCAAACACTCACTTGACAACATAGTAGATCTCCAAGCAGATGATTTTCATGATTAAGGCACAGGTATCCAAGACACTGAGCTACAAAGACAAGATGAAAACAAACTCTGAGCAGCTTGCTTTGCAGAGTGAGTACAACTCTGATTTAACCTCACCCACCCGCTCACAGTGACTGATAATCTGGTTTGGCAGACTTGTTTCTCCCATGATAGCAATAGATGTGTCATTTGACAAAGGACTGCTGATGATAAGGAAGGAATACGGATTCAAAGTGGCAGTCAAACTGAGCGAGGGCACAGGACTTTCATAACAAAGGGCAAAACACCCACAGAAAGGAAGAAAGCAAAAAACCTCACTGGTTCATCCATACTAGGCAGCCCAAGCTGTGCCTAAAAATGAGGAGTCAGACAGCATACACAGTATGGATGCACTACATACAGCACATCTTCCAGAGAATGTAAACACAGATGCCAGATAACATCTATTTTGATTTCACGTGTGAAAAAAGGGCAGAGAATTTCTGAAGACAGTCCACTGCTGTATAGCCATTCTCTGCAAAGAGCACAAGTATGTGCTTCAGCTCCTGCCTCCCTTGAAACCAGTCAGTCATACTGCTTTTTAGAAAGCCGAAAGCACAAATAGTAGCCACACACACTTAGAAACCCATCTGAAAAGTACAAAGCTGCCTCTGTTTTGCCCTGATGTAACTCACCTCTGACGTCTCTGAAGGCGGAGGAAGAGTCCCAAACAGTGGATTAGTCAAATTTTCCCAAAACTTCGGCCTAAAAGATGGGTACAGAAGTAGTATCAGTTATCTTCCTCATATCTAGCAGCATTTTGTCCATTCCAAATTCCACAGAAACTATTCTTTGGTAAATACATGACTATATAGCCTTGCACAAAAAGCGAACAACGTATATTTGCTTCTGAACATGGACACATTGGCTTTTCATCTTCTTTCCCAAGAGACAGTACAGATCAAGTTCAAAACACACACTCAGCACACCCCTTAACAGGATGGGCAAAATCTAGGATAAAATTGTCCCTCAACAGTCCAATGAAACAAAGAAAAAGGCATTATGGGATACAGACAGCAGAACACACTGCAGGAGAACAACCACTCACTTTGTCCTCAGAACCAGCATGGCACTGTCTCGGCGGTCCTGCCACAGGGCGTGCAGGAAGGCAATGGCAGCACGGTGCAGGAGGGGAGGACACCAGTACCTCTCCTGTTGTTTGGAGTCTATCAGCTCTAAGACTACTTGGAGGCAACTCCACTCCCCCAGACTGAACTCCTAAAGCAAAAGGAAATGAGAGGTTATGCCCCCACCAAACCACTACAGAGACATGTATTACAGCAGAATGCCTTCAATTCCTCTTGAACAGAAAAGTAAATCTTGAGTACATGATGCAGATACGTATTTTGTAAGTAACTATAAGGAATGTGTAACACAAGAGGGGAAAAGAGTTTTAGAGGTATAAAAGTGAGCTAAGCTAAGACTTCGTAGGACCAAATGCCTTCAGAAAGGTCCCAACTCATGAAGACCTCCAACTGAGAAGCAGTAGGGAACAGGTGTTGTGAAAAACTGGTATTTAACTGTTATGCAGTGTATTCCCACTAAACGGCCACTGTCAGAGTCAGGAGAGTAAGGTGAGTAAGGTCACAAGGATCTTTGCTATCATTGCTCTGACTCAGTAGAGATGTTCTTATGAAAATTGAGGACAGCTGCTTTTCAGCCGTAAGAAAAAGAAAAAGCTGAGAGCACAGCACAAGCATTCACTACATTCAATGCAAACATGTTCTGCATTCACCTTTACATCAGGCACACAGAGTTGCACATAAAACCTATTAGACTCTAGAGATCTGTGCCATAAGACAGAGGGATGTTATGATAAACGAGTGGTGAATCGCCAGGCAAATGTCAGCCATTCTACCTTTGAGCCATCACTGCCATCCTTCACTTCCAAGTTCAGGAAGAGCTCGATGAGCCCAGGCTGTGTCTCCACTGCAACTGTAAGGAATTCCAGTATCATGACCTTAATACGCATGTCCTCAATTTTGCTCTGCAGGCGGGTGAGGAAGGCGTCGCGGATGGCAGCAGCATCACTACCAAGGCAGGCATAAACAGACATGGGAGCAACCTGCAAAAGGAAAGAAACATCAGAAGCCAGGATAACAAATTCTACAGAACACCTCTTCTCTAATATAAATAGCTTTCAGTCCACACTGCCTTCAGCCGACTTGCCTTAATTAACCTCCCTGATACAAACAAGTCAGAAGAAACTATTTTGAAAGAATTTCAGCAGTGGAATCAGGCACAAAGGAAGAAGCAAAGCTCTTGTGTGAGCCTCATCCTACCGTAGCCAGTCGCTTGAGCAGCTGGATGGCCAGGCGTGGCAGCGCAGGGTCATGCTTGTGGTAGATGTATTTGGCCAAGACAGCAATAAGATTGTTTCCATGAGCACCTGAAGGGAACACAATCAAAATCAAAGATAAGAGCAGCTATTTCACAAATAATGCCTTCCTTAGCAGAAGGAAAGAATTAGGTAAGTCTTCCAAAAAAAATGAACCACGATGGGACCTTGAAGATCACCTAGTTCCAACCCCTCTGCCACAAACAGGATTACCACCTGCTAGAAGGGCATTCATACAGGAGGGAGAATTAGCCTTCTCCTATCACTAGAAAGCACATTTTGGACATTTCAATAATTGACACACTGTCTGTAATGAGACACACACTGACTATTTCTAAGTAACAAAAAAACACAGCTTCTCAGGCTGTCCCTGTGGAAGAATACATACCATGCTGAGTGAGTGCCTGTTCTAGTGGAGATACCACACTAGAGGGGGGTTTCAATCGTATGACATTATTGGTGACTGAGAATGCCAGCTTCACAGTTTGTATCAGCAGCTGGCCTTGGCCTTGTGACTCATCACTGTATTTCAAAAAAGAAACCAAAGTAAGTAATTGCGTTGACAACTGACATTCATTATCTGCACAACATTCAAAGATGAAATTCTGCACTCTGGCAGTCAGAGGTTATAACACGTTTTCACTCTGGCTGTCACATCACCACCTAACAGCTGCTGAAACACAAACCCCCACACAGCCACAAAATATATTGTCTACTCAGCCCTGAACTCTCAGCATCAAACATTTTAGGAAAATAGTCTGACAGTCTATTGTCACTTTTCTCCCCCTCTTTAGTAGAAAGATTTTAAATGCATTAAGACAGAGGGAGAAACATTTGCAAGAGCCAATCTTAAAGAAATTATAAGGCATCCATGATAGATGATGAAACTAAACTGGCTCTAAATCCAGTATTTTTCCAAGGTTTCCTTACGAGATAAACATTCTGGACAGACATGAAAGCCAAAAAGGATTTTCACATAGGTACTGTTTTTCTCCATAAAAGTCTGGACTCCCTTCCAGATGTTCTAAAAGAAAGGAATGGCAGACTTTCTCAAAAACAACCTGACATGTTTGGCTGGCTATGTGTCAAGGAAGATTCTAATTTCGGTTTATAATCCTCTTGCTTCTAATTCCCTCTATTCAGTCTTAGAAATTAAATTCAAGTGAATACATTATTTTAAAAAAGTAACTGCTAGCAAACTTAAAGTAATGGAGCACCCACCAAGACACCACACATGTCATTAACACTAAGCAAAGTAGAAAACTAAAGAATAGCATGGAGAGTGTACAGCAAAAATTACAAATGGATCCATAACAAAGAAGGCTTGTTCCTCTAGAATATACAAGGCAGGTTAGATCCCCAAACAAGTGCAATTATGTCAAAGCTACATTTCAAATATTACCCGTTGTTTTTCTCCTCACACTACTGAGATGAAGCACATGACTCACCTACTAGACTGGGAGGCCATTACCATGTCAATAGTGTCCACACCAATCCCCATGATGTTAATGACAGCTTGCCCTGCTTCAGTGTTGGCCAGACTGAAGATGCACAAGGACTGAAGGCTGGGCACATTGCTGTGGAACACAAACACCACAAGAACACCATCATTAAGATCTCTCATAGTACTTCCCCCCCCCCCCCCCCCCACTTACTAAACAACCACAAAATAATGTTTGCATTCCTACATGTCCAGTAGCCCCCCACTTCATTCTTTCTTCTACTTCCTTCAGAATGGATATATCAAATAGGAAGGTGGGTGGTAGCTGCCCCATGGAACACACAGGCTCTTTTCCCCTTCTTCATCAGATATTCTAAAAACCAACATGCTTTGCTTTGTCTCTCATCTTTTTCTACCCTTCCTATTCTCTATAAGGCAGAAAAGCACTGAAACCAGCACTATATAAGCAGGCCAGTAAACTCCAGGTAACTTTCATTCAAAAACTGAAACAAAAGGACAGCAAGAGACTCCTGCTACACTGTAAACCAGCCTATCCCAGACCTGACATCCATCACCCATCTCACCTACTGCGAGGATCCATTTCTGGGCATAAATTCAGTATTGCATGAATCAATTGTAGAATGAGGCACCCTGAAACACAGATGAAATGGACTGCTCAGTTTTGAGGAAGACACGTTACCTAGTCCCTAGTATTTTCAACCAAATCTCAGCATCTAGCAATATTAGTGGATGCACAAAGCAAATTCTAAATGTCTGCCAGAAAAGATCTGATTGGAAATGGGAAAAATGTATGCATTCTCCCCAAGACAGGTGATCCTTTTCGGTCTCACCTGTCTACCCTCTCAATGTCCTTACCGATTTTCTCTCTCACTCCATGAGAGTTGTAACGCCATTTGTGGTAATTTGGTAACATCTCCTTCAGGACAAACACAATGCAGGGCACAAGCCCTTGGCTCTGAGTGCTACCAAGCTGTCCCTAGAAGAAACAGAAATGTTATTTTTTCCCTTCTGGTTTAAAGGGGATTAAATATTTCATAGGAAGATCAGCCATGTGTCTTTAAATGTGAGAAAACCAGTGAACATGGTGACATAGATTTACAAACAATTTCTGTTCTCTTGTAGCTCAGATCAGAGCAGTTTTTTGAAAGAACCAGAGAAAGCACAAAACAGCAGCACATAAGGAGTGCCGACCAATGACTGATTACTCAGAGACACATTGCATAGAGGATGTCAGGCACTGCTGTATTTCACTTTCTCATTGTATCAGTCTACAGCTGACTTCACATAATGACCACTCCAGAAGCACTCACCCGGACCAGAGTCGTGATGAGGTTCAGGAAGGAGATGGTAACGCTGTACTCGCCTTGAGGCTGCTCTATGCTCATCAGCAGGTTTCCATAGCCCCCAGCATTCATTCCCTCTGCACTGTGAAACAAGCAAGGAGATTCAGTGTACAAATAGTATAACTTCGACATGACTGAGAAATGCCAGATACACAGATTTCATAAACCTTAGATTTCAAACAGGCAGAAAGGTCTTATGACAAATTATGAACAATTCAGGCAGGAAAAAAAACACCAATACCTTATCATGTGATTCATACTGGACACTGGATTGGCAACGAATGGCAAGAAGCCCGTATGGTGAAGGTCAGTCCAAACCTGTATGAGACCAATTAGAGATATTATCTCTCACTCACATATGCATACGTAGTAGTTCTCACACTTAGAAAACCAAGAAGGTCCTCACCTTGGCTGGCATCCGTGCAGCCAGTACTGTCAAACAATTGACACAAGAAGCAATAACGTCCATAGGGGGAGAGATTACAGTTGTCAGCCTGGGAAAGACAAATACACATAAAATGCACTGCCATCTGTGATCTAGTCTATATACTGTTGTCTTGATCCAAAGCATCAAACCCACTCTCCAGCACAGAGTCCACACTGTCAGTCTAGCCTTGCCAACTCTTCCTCTCCCTTGAATCAGATCAATTTACTGCACAAGGCAAGGCTCATCAGACAACAGATTGTCACAGTGAACAGTGATTATCCAGCAGATGACTGGAGGGAGAGTTAATACATGCAACAACATCCAAGAAAGAAGTGAAGGAGGGATGGTTCTGCTGAATCAAAGCATTCTGTAGCCAGAACAGTCCTTACTGAACGTCAGCCCTGGGGAGTTCAACCATTGAGATGCCCTTCTTTCAAATCTTTTGGTAAAATGGGTAAGTGACCACTCTTTCAGCTCATTACGTCTTCTCAGGTATCCCTGCTGTTAGTGACTCCATGCAGGTCACTGACTCACCTCTGCAGCAGCATGTAGATTCGTGATGTGATTGGCAGAAGGCAATCTGCTATGGATACATCAGTGCTGATGACTTTATGAACCAGATCAATGATTGGCTTGACCCTCTGGCAATGCTGAATCACATCTAGGTAAAGAAAAGTAACATTAGAATGCAAAAATCACACAACAGCAGTTATCAAGCTTAAAACAATGCACATTCATCTTCCAGAATATCCCCAGGCTCATCTCATTATATGCTCTCAGCCTACTGCAGTGAATTACCATAACTGAAACCCCAAACCAAAACCAACAACAATAAGAAAACAAACGGGTTTTTGAGTGAGTATTCCAAGCTCTTTCAGAGGTACTGTGAGCTCTCAATCCTACCGTTAACTTAAAAGTTATTAACATCAATTACTTTATTCTCTCTTATACTCCCTGCCTCTCTCACCTGCTGTGGATACAACATGGAGCAGCATTTCAATCTCACAGGTAAACAGTGTCCAGCTGCTGTAGGAATACTCCCATCGTACTAAATAAGCTCGATCATCCAGCATCACTTGGCCCACTGTTCCCTGAGGTATCCGCAAATTTGTCTGACCTAGTCCTAAAGAGTGAAGAAGCAAGTAAATCCATAAATCTCCCCACGAATTAGAAGCCAGGTAAATAATTAAATTCCCCAAAGCACTTGAATAAGAAAAGATGAAATGTAGTTTCCTTACCCAGAGGATAGAGGAGCTTTGGAGCCTGCCTTCGCCACAGGGTGCCATCTTCATGAGAGATCACATCAGGAGGTTTATGCTTGTAGAGTTCTATGTAGAAAGACATTTTATCCAGGAAACTGTACACCTGCACAGAAAGAGAGCTTGAAAAACACAGCCAAAGTGACAGATCCTCTTAAAAATTAAATCAACCAAATTACCATGCATTACCAAAGAGCATGCTACCCCTATCTTGAAATAAACAATCTCCCACACACCAAGAGAGATCCTGTACCTTTTTTGCAGTAGATTTATCTGACACAAGAGCCTGGAGCAGCTGAAGGAGAGGAGTAAGAAGGTGGGGGAACATCCCACATACACTGTCCAGGATAATACCCAGACCTGCAGTCGGTTCCTGGTAATGGAAACAGAACAAATGCCTTACTGCTAAAGAGAAATGCTAAAATAGCCTCAGTATAGCATAAGGATATAGCTCCTTTTCAAGTCATACATTGGAGACATCAATCATGCACAGAAGTATCACTCCAGTCCTTGCACAGACTAAAGCATGAGGCAGTGTGCAAGTATAAGGCAGGAAATAAGACTAATGCATTACACATCATCCTAATTCTGTAACAACAAAAAAGTAAGCATGATGCTTTTATCAGCAGTTAGTTCAGTCTTTGCAATCCCAGCCCTGTTTTCAACTATCACCTATATTAAAACTTGTTCCAGTATCCTTCAAGAGTAAAGCCAAGGATGGACCTAAAAGGCAGGAAAGGGCAAAGATAAATGTAAGATAGATACAAATGAACACTGGCTCCTCAGGGCCTCCTAGCAACTAGCTAACTAAATATGATCAGTCTGTTCCTTTCCTAAAAGGGAATCTTTTCATCAGGTTTTGGTTATAAGCAAGGTAGGTCAAAGAAATTGCCAGCACACTCACTGTCTTCCAGAAGAGCTGAGGAATGCTGGAAGTTGCCAGAACTTCACATGCTGCATCAATTATATCCTTCAGAGAACATGAGGAAAAACAAAATAAAACATTACTTTACACAGAGTTCTCATCAGAACCAAATTTTGTCACATTCCTAAATTTAAGTTTCCATGCTTACCAACCAAGATGGAACTACTTTTTCTTGTCAAAAGAGAAGGAAACACCCCCCACAAAGCCAATCTAAAGCCATGCTTCCTATCAAGGAATGGCCTGGCCAGAATAAACACATCCAGTACATTTACGAAGGACTATATGATCTCCCATCAAACTTAAAAACTGAAAATGTATTACTTCCATTGCTTTGGAAATAAAACAATGACAAATAGTTTCAAATCCCTAGGACTTCAAATTCAAGACATGCTGCATTTCATTGTTATTCAGCCAGTCTGCAGAGGTACTTACTAAACGTGCATAGTGTAAACCACACTTCTAAAACTATCTAAAACACAAATTTTGCTGTTTCAAATGCAAGATTACAACTTAACAGAAGTAATTAGTATCAGTTATGACAGGTTATTTCAAATTAGCTAACAGATGCAATGAGTGTTGGATGCTTACTTGCTGATTGCCCAATGTATGCAATTCCAGCGATGTCAGGACAAAGGAAAGAAGCCCATAAACGCACATACAGGCTGTGCTGACTGTACACTGCAAAGAAAGAATACATAAGAGCATTACAGGAGAGATTATGAGCCACAAAGCATAGTCTAACAGCAGCCTCCTTTACAAACAGCACACCTCTCAGTAACTGCCTCTGTCATGTATCCTTGCTACAGTACAATAAAGAGTTGTCAGTTAAACCACATATAACATGAAAAGTTTCACTGAACTGAGAAATCATTCACTGCTACTACTAATATCATGAGAAATGCCTTCAAAACATCAAAAAATTATTCAGTGTTCAGAGAAATCAGATTTGTTTTCATCGATTTCTGCCCACCAATGTGATTGCTCTCACACACTGTATTGCTTAATGAAACCATATCTGGAGAACAGTGCAGAATTAAATCAGCAGGGTTAACTACAACAGCAAATATACCCATGGAGGCAAATCAACAAATGTGATTAGAAGCAGTCTGTTCTGATCAAATGACGTACAACACTCCTACCTACAGAAGGTTTTTTGTTTGTTTTCGTTCAGTTGCGTTATTTTTTATTTTTTAGGCATAAAAATCTGTTTAGTACCAGTTTGATTTCTGCTTTTTACAGGAAGAATGTGAGATGATAAAACATGCTTTATTTATATGCTATGGTTCAAGTCAGCTTTAGCTTGCAATCACTTTGATTCAAAATCATCCACTTCCCACCACATCTTCACATCATTAGTAGTTAAAAGCCTTCAAGAGCTTACACATGATACTAAGAAACTCACATTCTTGCCCCCACTGCTAAGTGATTTCAGAAGCTTTGTCAGGTACTGGAACACATTGAGCTGGATAGCAGTGCTGCCCATTCTCCTGATAACATTGGCTGATTCCTCAGGATTTATGGTATGACGGAGCAGAGCCCAAGCCAAAAGTACTGGAGCATGATGTGAGACATCCCCTAGCTGCAGCAGCTGATTGTCCATTTCCTGCACAGAGACAAGAGCAACACAGCTGAGATCCCACAGAAGCAGAAAATACTCAGTAAGCATATTGCTGATGGCATCTTTCTGCTAACACTCATTTCTATTACAACTACTTCAAACATCCAATGGACCAAACCGTGCGTTTGCAGTCCTGGTCTGGTTTTGTGTATGTTTTACTGACTTTCTGTTCTTCTAACCTCAGAAGTTCTCTGTCCTAAAAGCCCTGACATTGAGAAGGGAATGAAACAGAAGATTTTTTTTTTTAAAGCTCCCATTGCCTATCTCTTTGACACACCTTTCTTTAAAGAAAGGCCCGAGATGATCAAGTAAATAAGTGGGAGAAGAATTAACTAGACGCTAGCTCTTATATTTGGTCAGCAAACAGAAGTCAGAACCTTTTATACATAATCTTTTAGCAGTACTGCTTGGATAACCAGAGGAAGTTTTACACTGTCAGGCTGAACTTGGGGTTACCCTGCCTGCACTTTACCTGGTGGATATGTGCATTACTGGCTAACTTGTGCTCTTCTGTCCTATCATCCAAAGCTCGTTCATGGAGGGAGTCAATTTCCATGCCTTCCACCAGAATAAGAGCACTAAAGTAGCTGCAAGCAGGAAAGAGGAAAAAAAATCAAGTAGGTGAGACACTTTATTTCAGAATTCAGTTGTTTTTGTTTGGTTGGTTTCTAGTTTAAAAAGAATGACAAACAGTCAAAGAACAACATTCAGTTACATTGGTTCAGCTGCTATTTTAAGAAACATGAAATCATGTAAATTAGCAGCAGGTAATCCAAATTTTGTCTTGAAATGCTAAGCATAGATGGATTAAATCTTCAAAACTACCGTTGAACAAACAAACAAAAGTCACTGAAATTTAAAGATAGCTTTTCTACCTTTAACTCTATGCCACCCACCAAGACTCTCAGTCTTTCAGGATGCAACCTAAGCTATGTCCCACACAGCAAAACAAAGGTATTGTGGCCACTTGTGTAAGCAGACCCACAGTTTGTACTAAGGCAATTCAATTCACAGTACAAAGCTGTGAAGATGTAGTTTCACTTTACAAATAGATCATCTAAGAATAAATGGCACTGTGTCTTCATTGTTATTCTTCCTACAGACAGTTAAAGCTGACATGTGGATGCCCCTCTGCTTTGCAATCACATCTTCATTTTGCCACAAATGCCCAATGCAATCAGAAAGACATTCTGCCTTCATCACAATTAGTTCAGCTTGATTTTCCGAGAGGTGATTTTAAAGTGGTGATTTTAAGAGAGAAAAGAAAAAAATAAGTTCGTTCTTTCTCTCTCTTTTTTTTTTTTTTACTGAGGAAAACAACTGCACTGTTCTGTACTCACTTCACAAACATACATGTTACTTACCCAATACGATCCACCAGGTGATCCATGCTCTCATCTACCAAATGCCTGTTGGTTTGTCTAGTGCCAAATCCCTGCTCCTTGAACAACTTTGCAAATGCCAGAAGCTCATCAGGTGCCATTTCAAAGTATGCATAGTAGAGGAAGATGACTTCCAGGAGCATGGACTGCTCACGGAGGCATTGCACAAACCAACGGGAAACCTGACGTTCTGTCTGCACAAGGAGAAGACCCACCATCATGCATCAAAGCTCAAAGATCAGACAAAGCAATCAGAAACCATGGTGGGCTGAGCTATTTCAAAGTTTGCATAGTTGGTGGTTTGTATTAATAACAAGAAAAGCCACTGCAAGTACAGTGTGCTGACACAGAGAGACTACGAAGAGCCACATGAAACGATCTGTTAGCTGAGTGTTATCAACAGATTTCTTACAAGGAAGAATGTGTTTCAAACAGCTTGCTTTGGTTCAGAGCAAAAGTGTGCTCAATTAAAAACAATGGTTAGATTTCTTGGACTAAGAGCCACCATTCTAGGCTACGTCTGCACAGACTTTTCAACACACTATATATAAAGAAAGACTTTCTAAGTTAGATAGATACACTTGGTAAGTTTTATAGAAGAGCATGGAAAAAAAATACCATGAGATTTCCATGTGTTTCCCATGTAGGAGCTTCAGCTTTGTACAGTTCTTCAAACTGTTTACGGTAATTAGGAACTAGTTCCTTCTCCAACTTTTCGACACACTGGAAGTACTGTGCCTTAAACAAGCAAAGAAATAAATAAGTGAACTTCCACATGCATTCTTGTGTGTTTTTTGCAACCACAAGTGGATAATTAGGACACAACTTACATATTTAGCTTATTTCAATGACAGGAAAGGTTCCTGTACTCACTGTATAAGGGTGCCTCTCATCCTGAAAATAAGTGAGCAGATGGAGAACACAGCGCAGAATGCAGATCCTCTCTTCGTAGTAATAGTCAGCAAGCTGTGAATACATAACATTACCAGCATCAGTTTGGTACTGTGTTCAACTCCCATTCACTTCCCCCTTCCAGCGCCTACATCACCAGAATAGATAGTGCTCAAACACTACTACAGATGGAATTTCAACTAAGCAGTTTTAAATTATCTAAAAAATTTAATTAAAAAAAAAAAACACTAAAATTTAATTAACAGAATTCAATAAAACACATTGTTGGGACATATCTATAATTATGCTATTCAATAAAACTTGGAAAAGAAAGGCAAAAATAAGAGACAATCTTCCATTCTTAATCTTTAATAACCTCTGCCAGGAGTGATGATCAACCTCCATTTCAGAGTTATGCCTTCAGACAGAAACATATAAACCCACAGGCTTTGGAAAATGTGGAAGCATTCACCTGACAGCTGAACTCCCTGACATTAACCCTAAAATCTCCATCATCCCAAGGCTTTGTAAATACAAAATGTTAGTTCTCAGATCTTTTCACTAGAAAATATAAATGGAAACGACTAACCTTCAACATCAGAGCCTGACTCTGCCTTTCATCCTGAAGAACTGTCTGTAAGCAAAACATAAGAAAATAATTACCTACTGCAGAAATACCTACTCACAAATATCATCAAAAACAAACAAACAAACAACTGAAAGAAATGAGAAATTTTTGCTTTCCATTTCTTTTGGGAAGACAGTTCCCAAAATTAAAAAAACAAAATACTTATTTGTAAATGTTCGTTCTTCATCTCCACCCACTCTCATTCACACATCTGTAAGTTTCCTGTATTCCTGAGACAGAGATGAGCCAAATCCTTGCAGCCAGATTCAAACAGGAAGAGGACCAGAAAGTTAGACCCGAATTTCTGCTGTCACATTTCTGTACAGTGGTACTTGGCCACTGCAGGTTTAGTGAACACAAACTATGGTCTTTTCCAATTCAGAATGTGGGGTTGCATATGATCATGTTCATCAATAGATTACTGGTATTGTGGACAGATGTACAGTAAGCAGGAAATAAATGGGAGCTAAGGACCTTCAGGGAGTCCCTTGTTCCTCTGTAATCCTCCTGAAGATAACACTGCAACAACTGCACACTCTGCTCTTCATCCAGACCCTGAAAAAAAAAAGAGATGCTCTGAAATGAAAAGTTAACTGAATTCATTAAAGATTCTCTCCAATATTTCAGGCAGATTTTCTCTTTAAAATAAATAATAATAGAAAATTCTTGCTTTTCAGGATGATGCTTGTTTCAGTCAGCACTTCCACTGAGAGCAAGCTTTGATGTAACTAAGATGCAGCCAGTTAAAACCTCAGCAAAGGAGCACTGCAGTCACTTAAACAAAGGTACTGCCACCAGTCACCTACTCTCACTCCTATAGGGGAATCACAAGGAATATAACCCTGCAGGTAAACAGCATTTGTGGCAGATACTTTAAGGGACACTGGTTCAGATGTCTTGAAAGAGCCCAAGATCGAAGAGGATTGCTTCTGAAAAGCAGGAGGGGATGAAAACCAGGAAAAACAAACTACCTCATACAGTCACTAATAACTTCAGGGAATTTTGATGTAGAGCCTCTTTGGGTATTTGTAACCTCCTCTAGATTACTTTGAACTGAAAGAAACTTAATTTTTCGTCTCCTTAGCATCAAGAAAAAGTGAGGATAAAAAAAATTATCAGAAAAGCACCTTCACTCACCAAAAACTTGCTGACCCTCAGGCCCAACTCTTTTAGTGGAGCAGCTACATCTTTGTCAGCTTTTATCTTCTCTGCTGAAGTTGTACTAAAGAAAAAAACAGCCATCATTAATAACACAGCAACCCCAAGGAATGAACTCAAGAGGCTTAATTTCCAAGTTTTCAATTTTATCAGTTTAAACTGAACTCGTTTGCTCTCAGTGGCCTTTTAATATGTCATACATCAACAACCACAAGTTTTCCTACCAGATAATACTCAACATTGTTCACTACTTTATTAGTATAATAAATACAGGATACATTCATTCTATCCTTTCCAGTGAAGGAATCCTGTTATCCTTCTGACATGACCAAGTGTCAAGAGGAGCCACTTCATTGCAGAGTGCATACTTGCACTTGTGCACCACAGCTGAGCACAGGTAAGGAAGGGTTAAGAGCTTTCCAATACTGGTAATGAGAGCAGAAGCTACTGTTATTTCTTTCTGGCTTGTATTTTATGGCCTAGAAAGTAGTCTGGATTAAGCACTTCCCATTGTTGCTCCTCATGCAAGAGAATAAAGATGTATTTTTAGAAAATCAGAAATATTCAACGTGCTCCTCTACTTACTATTAGATTCCATTTTAGAGGTTAATTTCTATTATCAGACAATTACTGTACCTTGGAGGTTTGTAGTATGAAAGCCCTTCTAACAATCTCTGCCAGTGCTTGTTCAGTTCTGATCCAATCTGTGCCTAAAAAAAGAACCAAACACTACTGAACAGATTCCTCAACATCTCCAGTCCAGTAGCAGATTTGTTTAAGTGAAGCAAAGAAATTCCACCATCACAGAGACAGGAACAACACAAGGCAAACAACAGCATCTACGATTCAGACTGATTCAAGGTGAGTATTGTATGAGAAAGCTTGCTGTCTTGCCTAGTATTAGGAAAGGAGAGGAATGAGAAGGTACTGGTCTAGGTTCTGATACGTTTGTATTTCCATCCTCTGGGCACATCCTGGATGCAGGGGCTTCATCCCAGAAAATTCAGAAGCAGGCTGTACCACTCACATATACCCTATATCAGTCAGTCTAGCAAGCAGCACTTCTGTCCACTCCTGAAAGGGAACCACCTTTTCATATACTCTCTTCCAGGCAGAAGCTGATGAAGCAACTATAAGCAAAGAGTGGAAGAACAAACAAGCAATGGAGAAAGAGCAACAAAAATCACACCAAGGAAAAGGAAAAGGTAACAAGACGAGTATTCAAAGAGATGTACAAATGATGTATTTGGCCATGGAGTGCAGTAAGTGACAGGTAAATGGGCTTATCAAGACATAGACTTACTGGTTCTCTTAAAGCTGACCTGCCCAGGAGAATTGTCCACAATTCTCTGCTGCTCCTGTAGACAAAGGGAAAACATGGAGACTGTTTTAATAACAAACCCCATTTCAGGCTTCTATTTAGCACTCACCTTTTCAAACTTGCAATTATTATTTTAGAGCAGATCATATTGCAATATAAAGTAAAAGCAAAATGATTTAAAGGACATTCGTTTTTAGCTGAGCAGTTTCAGATATGCTGGAAAACCAAGAGGGTGACTGCTGCTAGAACAAAGCTTATAAATATGATACTTCTTCAATGCGAGTTTACATCAGCTTACAAATTCAACCTGATCTTGTTAATTGAAAGCTTAGGGTTAGTAGAAGAAACCTAAATAAAGAGCAGAGCAGTATTTTATCAGGTTTCATCTGATGCTTCCCTCCAAACAAATTCCTCTTTAACAGCTTCTACCTTCACTCAAAGACGAATACAAAACCAGGCGAAGAGAAGAAACACAACACCTTTCCAAAGGGGAAGTTCCACTAGCCTCAGCTATTCAGAACATGCACCTGAGCTGCTTGTTTCTTCCTGCTTCCTGGGAAGTTTGTAGGAAAGCCAACTTGTGCTGCAAGGTGTTACAGACCAACCCCTCACCCTGGCACATGCACCTACAAAGACGAGCCTCCCTACAGCAGCTCTGCAGAAGCACGCATGCCAAAAAGAGCAGCTCAGCAAACTTAAAACTGAGGATTTGTCAGCAATATAACACGAATCAGGGAGTAAAAATGCCACAACTCCCCGTGCAAAGGTGGTTTAAAAAATAACAACCCATAACCCGGTAACTTTAGATCGGCATCATCAAAATAAGCCATTATAGAAGCAAGAGTCACCTGTAACACCTGATACGGTGCCATCCAAATGGCTTATGGAAGCTGCTATTTCCAATACATCTACCAACCAGTTTTCTACCTCCAAACTCCTCAGCAGGAGCAGCTCGCTGTGTGAGAGCCCTGCTGACCGCGCAGGTGGAGCCCTTGCAGCCCAACGTGTGCAGAAAGGACACCGGATTTTACCAAGAAACGAATGTCTTTGCAGTGCAAGAGCCAACCTCGCACTCCGTTCCACCCCAACCTCTTTAATCAGACCGCGGGAGAGCGATGGAAGGAAAGCTCCCATAGGGCACAGAGCTGCTCCCGGCCCCGCCGGGTTTGCGAGCCCTGCTTTAACGCAATTTAGACACGCAGCGCCAAACGGAGTCTGAAAGCGACAGAATAAACGACCAAAAGGGAACGAAAGCAGCGATCCGAAGGAGCTCATCCCAAAAAAGGGCTTCCTTCCTTCCTTCCTTCCTACAGCTCCACGCGGCTGCCGGTTCCCCTCGGTGAGCGAAGGGCTCTCGGAGGAACGAGGCCGAGACGCCGCACTTCCACAGGGGTCGCCGCCGCCCTGCGGGCACGGAAGGAGCCCGCCGAGCGCAGCTCCGCCCGCTGAGGCGGCCGACGAGGGGATTTCCTCAGCGAACCAAGCTCCCCACGAACCGAGGCGCCGGCGACATCGCGCAGGAGTCGCACGGAGCGCCTCAGGGCCCCGCAGCCGAAGGACGGGGCGGGGCGGGGCGGGGCCGAGAGGCGGGGTCAGAGCGGCGCGGGCCCCGCGGCCGTTAACTCTCCCCTGTCCGCCCCCCCTCCGCTCCCCTCCCCCACGGCTCCTCCTCTCCGCCGGTCTCCTTCTCTCCCTCCCCCAGCGGCGGGAGCGCGCGCACAACGAGGGACGGCGCCCCCCGCCCCCGCTCTCCGTTCCCGCCGCAGCAACGGCCGCCGCATCCCCGCACCTCGCGCACAGCCCGCCCGCCGCCATCTTCGCTGCCCCTCTCACGTGACCCGCGAGGCCGAGCGCTGCGCCCCGCCGGCGTCACGTGGTGCGGCCGCTCCGCCTCCGCTCCCCCTCCCTCCCCGTTGCGCTGGGTCATGTGACGCGCGGCAGCGCCAAGATGGCGGCGTGTTGCCAGGTAGGTGAGCGTCGCGGGGAGCGGGCGGCCGCGGCCTCTCGGAGGGCCTTGGGCAGCGCCTTCTGTCAGGGCCTAGCGGGGTCCGGGGGACGGCGGAGGGCGGCGAGGAAGGTTCCCAGCCTAGAGCAGCCGGGCTTCTGCCGCCCTGGCCGAAGCCCCGTCCAGCCCGGCCCTGAGCACTGCCAGGCTGGGGCATCCACAGCTCCCAGCGCCCTCATTATTAACGGTTTTTTCCTAGTATCTAACCGAAATCTGCCGTGCTTTAGTTTAAAGCCATGAGCCGATAGCCCAGCAGTGCACACTGCACTGAGGAGTCCTTCCCCTGTGTGCTGCCCCTTAGGCACCGGCAGGGTTACCTGGCAGGGACCAGAAAGTAACGCAGCAGTGAAATACCTCGTGTTGCAAATCTGAACGTCAGCAGCTTTTGAAAGCTGGAACAGAAGATCTGCATCGCAAGTGGTGAAATTGCTCCATGTCCTGGAGCCCAGCTGGCAGCTTGCTGCAGTGAAGCCATCTGGGAATAGTTGTGGCTTGTTTGCTTCATATTTCAAGTCAAAGACAAAATTTAAAGTATTTCTGTTGCAGTATCTGAATACCCACATACTGAGCAATTGGCTTCTGTCACAGCTTAGATTCTCAAATAGGGATAACGGTTTTGGCTGATCCCTTCTTATCTCTGATTAATAGTTGGCATATAACATCAGTCTAATTTGAGCTTCGATTTTTCTGGTTTTCCAATAGTTGCTTTCATTGTTTGTTTGTTTTTCATAGGAATCACAGTAATGTGAAAGAGAATTCCTTCTAGTGGACAACTACTGAGAAGATTGGGACCCATAAGAAAGATCTTGAAAGCCAAAGCCACATTGGACTGGAACCATGTTAAACAAACCAGTGCTGGTGGAATCCCTGATCGTCTTCAGCATCGTTCTGTGCGTGCATGCAGTGGTGTGGGACCGCTACTCCTGGTGTGCTGTAGCTCTTGCCATCCAGGCTTTCTATGTCCAGTTCAAATGGGACCGCCTGCTGCAGCAGGGGGGGGCTGTGTTCCAGTTCCGCAGCACAGCAAACAGTGGGCTCCTGCCTGCCAGCATGGTCATCCCCTTGCTGGGGATAGCAATGAAGGAAAGGTGCAAGGCCGCTGGTATCGTGTACTTTGAACGCTTTGGCATAGTTGTAGCTTCCACTGGCATGTTGGTTGCTCTATTTTTGTCTGTAATTGCTGTTGGCATCACAAAACCTGTGCCCACCAACACTTGCATACTCACAGGTGTTGCTGGCAGTATAATTATCTATACCATGAAGCACTCTTTGACTGTTTCAGAAGTGATAGAGGTCCTAGAAGTGCTGCTAATTTTTGTCTACCTCAGTATGATCTTGCTCTACCTGCTGCCTCGATGTTTTACTCCTGGAGAAGCATTGCTAGTTCTCGGAGGTATAAGTTTTGTTCTCAATCAGCTCATTAAACGCTCACTGAATGTAATCGAGGGCAGAGGTGAACCCATAGACTTCTTCCTTCTGGTGGCAGTTATTGGAGTTATTATTCTTGGGCTTTTTTTCACTGTTCTCTTCATTTTCATGGATTCGGGTACGTGGATCTCCTCCATGTTTTTCCACATGATGACAGCAGTGCTAGGCTTAGGGGTCATCATGCCTTGGCTTTACCGACTGATCCGGAGGAACCCTTTGTTTTGGCTGCTCCAGTTTTTGTTTCAGACACAGACGAGGGTTTACCTGCTCATATATTGGACTTTTTTGGCTGCTTCAGCGTGCGGCATAGTTTTCTACCAGAATGCCAAGAGATCGTCTGAATCTAAAAAACACCAGGCCTCAACCATAACCAGGAAGTACTTCCATTTCATTATTGTAGCAACCTACGTTCCTGGACTAATTTACGACCGCCAGCTTCTCTATGTTGCTGCAGTCCTGTGTCTGGCAGTGTTCATATTCTTAGAGTATATTCGGTACTTCAGGATCAAACCGCTTGGTCAAACTCTTCGCTATTTGCTGTCTCTCTTCTTGGATGAAAGAGACAGTGGGCCTCTAATCTTGACTCACATTTACCTTCTTCTTGGCATGTCCCTCCCAGTGTGGTTGTTCCCCAGATCTTGTGCCCCTAAAGGTACCTTGTCTGGGGCAGGAGCACTGGTGCCCTACGCTGGAGTGCTTGCGGTAGGGGTAGGAGACACCATGGCCTCTGTTTTTGGCAGTACCATGGGGGAAATCAAATGGCCGGGCACAAAGAAGACCTTTGAAGGGACAATGACAGCAGTTTTCGCTCAGATCATTGCTGTGGCTCTTATTCTGATCTTTGACAGCAGCATGAACCTGAACTCCAGCTATGCCTGGATTCTGGTGTCTGTGAGCTTAGTTTCTCTTTTGGAAGCTTACACAACCCAAATTGATAATTTGTTGTTACCTCTCTACCTCCAGATCCTGTTTATGGTTTAAAAGCACTTCCAAGAATAGAGGTTTCTCCACTTATAGAGAAAAGCAGCAACTTAATATATGCACATCAATCACAGATGAAAGATGATCCAAACAGTGTTTTTCTTTTGTTAAAAACAAAGGAAAAGAAATCTATTTAAAAATAAAAGTTTTGCTTCAGTCTCTTTTTCTGTAGTTTTTAAAACAGCACAACTTGATTTTTGTCATATTAAAAAAAAAAAAATCACAGGGGAGAATCTGTTAAGCCATTCTGCATTGATATTCCCTATTGCCAAGTACTAATTTCTCTGCCTCTTACATTTCCCCAAGAACTGCCTGAGCTGAAGCTTTGCTTTCCAGGATCCTGGTTTGAAGGACAAAGCTACGTTCTGACAATTTGTTCCCCACAAAAAGGCACCACAGTACACTTTGGGAATGGTGTAGTGCTGCCCCAGACACCTTACACAATTCTCCCCTGCAGTCTGACTGCTTATTAGGAGCACAGGTGGAGCAGAAGTGATGCTCTGTGCCAACAGATCAGGCCTCAGGAACAAGCCAGGACCCGCAGGGAGGTGGCATTGCCCAACATCCCCCACCTGGGCCCAGCTCCACACCTGAGCCTGCCTTTCCCATATTGCCAAAATTGTTCAGGGTTTGTTTTGGTTAACAATGCAATAAGGGACAGATACTGTTTGCAAAAAGACAATTCAGACTAGGCTGCATTTCCTTCGCATTGAATTGTAAAACCTGCAAATTCGGTACAGCTTCTTGCTTCTGTTTATCCACATGAATTAGATATTTGCAAGTTGCAGATAATGGTGCATATAAGCAGAGGACAGACAATCATTGCTCAGCAGCAGGCACTGTTCTAAAAGATTAACTCTAGTAATGGAAAGATACAGAAAAAGTTCAACTACGACCCACAAACTTCACCTCAGAAGCTGTAAAACAGCACAAAACTACAATAAGTCACTTTCTCCTCCATCCCTGCTTGCAACTGTGAAACAAACCATAGGAAAGGTACAGAGAGAGATCCTAGAAACACCACAGCTGGAACTGAACTCCAGGCTGCTGCTATTGCCATTCACCAGCCTCATTCCTACTGTGACAGCCTGAGCTCTGCACTGTATTGAACATATTCTGCTAAGCAATGCCCAAAGGGATAACAACTCTTCTTACCATAAATTTCATTCTACTATTTCACAGATCAAATGATCAAACCAACACCAGAAATGGGCAATATATTTCTGAGAGGAATGAGTCACTAAGAATTGGAGTCTTGCTTCCCTAACAATTTACTTCAACAGAGAACAACCACCAGATTGTTAAGTTCATTCTGCTTTTGTCTCATTTTAACTAGACAAAACTTAGTGCCCATTTAACTAAGCATTCAAAAAGTAAACTTAAATAAGTGTGGGATGTTATGTAGGAGCTGGAGTGCCTCACTCCATCTTGACTTATGCTGGATTGAGCTGGGTATGTTACACAGCCACAGCCCTGCCACAAACACAACTCCAGGCTACATGACTGCTCGAAAGTGATTACATCACACCATGACAGCATTTCATTCCTACAGACTCTCCCACTTCTTTGTCCCCATCTATGACCTTCTTGTGTACATTGGGAGAGATACCATCTATTGCAATTCCTTAAGAAATGCTACCTGTGTTCTGTTCAGCTTAGCACGCAGGCACTAGCTTGCCCCTGATGCAACTGAAGTTACTTAATGTTCCTTAGGTTTCGCTGTGGTTTGGTTTTGTTGGGGTTTGGGCAGTCGTGGTGGTGCACACACCTCAGTTGGATCATCACAGAGCTGTGCTGCAGCCCCACGTGTTGGGAGGAGGCCACACAGTGACACCCTCAAAAAAATGAGGTGAGATTAGAGTGAAGATTTATGATTTTTTATTGATGTATCATGAGGGATTTTGTTGTTGTTTTCATATTTTCAACATCTTTAAGAACGCTGATATTTTTAATCAAGCCTAGAGATCAAACATTCAGCTGCAATTTGCAAGAAATATCCAGAAGAGTGATTAATTAAAAAAGTAGACTCCCTGATTCACTTTGCCCACAGTAGCATTGTCTTTATTACTATTCAAAGAATAGGACAGAGACCCAAGGCTAAAAGCCAGCCATCTTCAAACAGCACATTCACCCGCACAGCCGATTAACAGATCCAAGCACTAAATGAGTTCTCGACTTCAAATACTACAGCTCTACAACAAGAAATACTTCTCAACCATTGCCATGGTCAAGGTGGAACTCTCCTTAATGGCCTATTCTGGAAACAGAAGAAATTTCCTCACCAAAGCACTGGGCTACTATCCTCAGAGCAGGGCTCATCCTGCAGCAGAAGCTTCTACCTAAGGCAGGCAGATTTGGCTGCATGAAGGGAGCTTGCTCACAGTAGATAATTATATCTTGAGCATTGATCTAGTGAACTGCATTTAAAGAGAACACAGACAAGCAATCATAGGAACGCTGACCAGCTAGTTGACTCCAGAAGCCAATCGTGAACGTCAAGTGTAGAGCGGTGGAAAAGGCAATTCGGGAGTTGGCTGCAGCCTAAGTGATAAGGAAGAGCAAAAAAACAAAACTGCAGTGACTACCCCAGTCCTGGGCCATTAAATCAGCAATCAATATTGCTGCACCCAAAGGGGCATTTCAAACAGCAGCAGGACCTGATACAGTGAGAAGTCAGTATTCTAGAACCCCTGAGCCTGAACATCTGTAATCACTATTCTGTCTTTCAGGCACTCAGCTGTTTTATTTTAAATTTAGTAGAAATCCTGGTAATTGGAATACATCCCTAAGGCACGTGGTTGCATATATTGCAGAGTAGAAGCAGAGCAAGGATTGCCAAGCATGGAATTTTTCCCTTCCTCCAATATGCTTATTGAACATGACTTTAAGAAGTCTGCAAATACACCAGGGTACAACTTAAAAGCTTTCATTAAACAACATTTGTCCAAGAATCACAGCAACCCTACCAGTTCTCCTTGCTCCACTTGGTGCCTTTGGCCTCCATCACATGGAAGGTGTACACGTGGCGAGAGAACCCCGAGCTGTTCATTTCACTCTTATGGACGACTTCTCCATGGATGACAATGAGCCCACCTGTTTGAAAGAAACACCCAGACTGCTTTTTTTTTTTCCAGTCGTGAGTGCTACATTTAACATAAGGAAAGTACAACTCAAAGTACAATGCAACTCTCTGAGGTGCTTCTACCTTTACTTATGGGCACAGGTATGAACTTGCTGTCATCGTAGGCCGGCTCTGACCCTACAAACTCCACACACGTCGAGGCACCTTGGGCTGCACGCACCATTCTGCGGGTAATCCCACCTGCACATCCACAGAGCAAGCAAACATCCATAAAAATAAAAACGCCAGCCCTGTTTTGTGCAAGCCCAGAAACACTCCGTGGTTCCTCTTGGCACTTAGAGGAACAGTGCTGCTAACGTATTCCATTCTTTCCTTGGGGATTTGGGGATTTTTCAGCATGCAAAGATTTGGGATTTTCCAGCTCTGTGCCTCACGACGCAGCCTGTTAGGAACACAATGCTCAAACACTTGTGCAAAACCCAAAACCAACCTGTCATCCATTTCTTCTTCCTAGAAGAGCATAATTTGCTGTCAGAGCACCATCTACTCCAAAGTGTGTGAGGGCTGAGTGATTTAAAACATCAAGAGAGCTGTAATTACCGAGTAAATGCTTAGGTGAGCAGCATTGGAAGTCAAATAGCATGCCCTAGAGGAAGGGAAAGACAGGAGACTGCAGAAATGATGCTGTGGTGGTTGGGGTGAAAGAGGAAGTTAGAATACTGTCAGCAGTTAAGAGGTCATGGGCACAGGGGGAAAAGGGCATCCTTGTGAATGGGATGCAGCTTGGAAAAGAAGCAGTTTTGCAAGCAGAAAAAAAAGAGCAATGGTTTGTTAGTGCATTCTCACTCCAGAGGGCAGAAGGAGAATTACAGTTTGCAGTCCAGGTGACGATGAACATTTCCAAAGCTGCAGTCAGAACTACAGCAGGAGCACCGACGGGTAGCAATAGCACGTATCACCACAAGAAGAAAGGAGTCAGTAGTTCCAGACCTTCACTGCATTAAAAACCTGAATCTCAGAGCCTGGCAAAGAGCCTGTGTTGCAGGGTGATGTTCTGAAATAGTACAAAAGATGCAGGGGTGACTGCAACGGGCCTCACCTTCACAGGTTCTGGAGTAAATACAGCACCAGGAGGGCTGCCTCTTCACCCTATAACCCTGGTTTCAATTTAAAACTAAGCACTGTCAGCCATGTACAGTAGCTTTTAAGAATATATATATATATTGCTGTATTAAGCTCTGCTGGAGGAGTGGCCACAACTTACTGGTGTGGGAGCCAGGAATGAACCACAAGCAGCCATTCTCCTCCATGGCATCCTCCAGTGCAATCCAGAAGCCCAGAACCTTTCCCAGGGGCTCCGTGTGCAGGAACGTGGCATCCTGGTGTGGTGTCACTGTGATGAAAAGCAGCAGGGTCAGGGTCTGAGCGTGCCTGGGGCCAGCACTGTGAGGTGGGGGCACATGCAGTGCTCCTCAGCCTGCCCTGAGCACCCATCACACCATGGAATCTCTTGAGGCAGCAGGGACAACTAAAGGCCACCTGGCCCAACTCCCTGCAGTGCACAGGGATGCACACAGCAACACCAGCAGTCACAGCCCCATCCAGCTCTTATCTCAGGCATCTGCAGGGATGGGGCACCACCACCTCTCTGGGCAGCCTGTGCCAGCTTTACCTGCTCACAGTCCTTTCCTGAAGGACTACCTGTGCTGTAATACAGAGACACACAAAGCTCACCTTCCCCACCGATGCCAGGTTGCTGCAAGGAGAAGGGAGACACGTGAGGAGGAGTCACACCAGCTTCATTCCTGCCATGGCAGGGAGGCCCGTGGCCGTACCTTGAAGATGTACATGCTCTGCACAACCACTGGTCTCTCAAGGCCTAGTTTTCTCCCCAGTTCCTGGAAAGAAACTTCCCAAAATGTACATTTGCTGCTTTCTGCACATGACAAAGCGCTATTTTCTATAGTAAAAAGGTATTCTGTCCTTTTATGTTCAAAAACATTGTGCTTAGGAGTCTAGAATATTCAAGTTGACCATCCCATCATTTAGTTTTCTGTCAGACAGCTCTATAAGCTCAGCTTACCTGCACCTTGGAGGAGTGAGTGATCTGCTTGAAGACAGGATCGTGGGCGTGCAAGGCTAAGGGGAGAGACAAGGCTCAGGGTAAAGGTTTCAGTAACAGAAGGGAGCCCAGGGGCTGGCAGCAAGGAGGTGCAAAGAGCACAGCCAAGCAGCCAGGAACTTCCACACCCCCCTGCCCCCCAGGAGCAGATCATCAGCATCACACCATTCCTGGAGGTGTTCCAGAACCGTGGAGATGTGACACTAAAAGATGTGGCCAGTGGGCATGGTGGGGTGGGTTGGGCTTGGGGGATCTGAGAGGGCTTTTCCAACCTTAATGAGGTGACGCAGCCCTTCTGAGTTAGTACAGTCTTCTGTAGAAGACTAAAGAGTGAAAAAAGTGAGTGTTGTGATGAATCATATTACACAAAAGGTATGAAAATGCAAAGCAAGAAGAGATGCATCTCCTCCTCTGCTGATCAGGCCCAGCAAGGGCTGCCACTGAACAAGGGATGAGGAGAGATCCCATTAAAAAGACTTAAGGAGAATCAATCAGAGAGAAGGTGCTGAGACAGCAGGGGACAGAGTTATTTTCACTTCCCAGAGGAAAAGTCAATGTGACAGAGCCCATTAGAAGCTGCTCTGCACAGGGGTGCTGAGAGATCTCCATATTGCATTTCCAAGCTGAGTGACGTTCAATCTGAACAAAGTTCAGGGGAATGAGCTGAAATCCTGCTCTTATTTTCCACGTATTGTTTGAAGACAAAAGAGATTCAAACCCAAGTGGGGGGCTGGGAGAGAGGTAATAGGGCACAAACTGAAAGCAGGAGGTAAGAAAAGGTGCTGCAATGAGAAAGGAAAAAAACAGCTTCACTGTGCAGGGAGCAGGAGACAGTCTGAGCCATTTGCAGTGGGAGCAGTTCAGTGGGAGGTTGCTCAAGCAATCTCTGACCCCAAGAGGTCTGAGGGCTGAAGTCCAAACTTTTGCACGCCAGTAAGTCAGTGCTATGTGCAACCAAAGAGCCTCCTGGAAGCGTTCTTCGGGTTTTGTTTTGAAAGGTTTATAGCTGAGAACTTTGGCAGCAGAGAGTGAGGAGCAGCACAGAGACAACTGCAGAGGCAGTGATGGAACGATGAGGGAAAAAGTGAAGTGATGAGCTGAAATTAAGATTAATTGAATACAGGAGAGGTTGCAAAGGAAGGAGTTGCATGAGGTTTGTGGTATTTGGGGCACAGTGAAAAGCAGAACAGGGACAAAGCCACTTCTGCTCTCAGGAAGGTTTAGATTTAGGAGACTAACGAGGGTGGGCCTGAAAAAGTCTCAGTGCCTAAGAACTGCCTCCCTTTTCCCCATCCTTCTCAAAAAATAAAAAGATCAATTGAACGTACCATGGCCAATCTTACTGACAGATTTCTCCTTTGCAATTAGGAAGTTGCCTATAAGACAAAACCAAATTTTAATGTGTTTAGCAAAGCAACAATGGTTGCAGAGCTGGAATCTGGCCCTGACTCTTCACGTTCCCTTGACTGGGCTCAGGGCTCACCTCTCTCATCCAGAACACCTTTCTCAAAGAAGAACCTGACCTTGTCTCCACTGGTGAGGAAATAATCCGAGCTGCCCTGTCAGAGACAAGAGCCCAGTAAAGACAGCATCACCATGAACACGCAGCCAAACCTTCCATCAGAGGTAACACTCACCTGCATCTTTTTCCCACCAAGCAGCAGCAGAAACAAAGTACAGTTAATAGAAATCATTCCTACAAATACTGAATGCATTCTTTCAACATTAAACCTCTCGGCACTCCCTAGGACTCCAGCCTGGCACACATGGACTACCAAAAACAGTACCAGAAAGCTGGGGAGCCAATGCCTTCTCCCTTCTGTCCCAGGGCAGCATGGGACCAGCCCTGCCGTGCAGGTACCTGTGACTGGAGCTGTTCCTCCTCCTTGGTGGAGAACTCAGTCCGGCAGTGTGGTGGCACCTCCATCCCATCCAGGATCCTCTGGATGCTGCTCCTCATGCTGTCACACTCCTCCAGGCTGAAGAAGTGCTCCAGGACAAGGAAACCATCCTCACGGAACTGAAAGGGGGACATGGGGTGGCTGCCCTTCTCCTCGGGTATTTCTAACGTGTTTCTCTTTCATCCAAAAAATGACAAAACTGAAGTGGTGTTCTTTTATTTTTAAAGCTCCAGAGGGGCATTACCAAGAAAGATCAGTCCTTAAACAGGCTCAGATCCCGTAGAATTAAGGGCAACACATTTCACCTCCCCACCCAGAAACCCGAGTAGATAGTATTGCTGAGTCTTCGTGGTTTAAGGATATCTTAGCTACGTGAGCAGCAACACTTAAACTACATATACTGCTAAAATGAACAGAGTACTCATTTCCAGATTCCAAATAAGAAGGATATGCCTTTACAAGCCACAAGAAAAAAAAGTGATTTTCTCTAAGGGAAAAATCCCTGGGTGGCTCTCACGGTTGACTACACAATCCTCTATGAAATGAAGCAAACTCTGCTGGCACCGCTTCCTTATATAGAACACCACAGGGATTATCCTCAGGGAGAGATCTTAGCCTTACAGTGACAGCTGAGCAGGAATCAGAAGGACACAAGAGAATTCCCAGAGGAGCTCTGCAGGGCACACGGCCTTCTGCAAGTTTGCACCCACAAAGGGGTTTCCCCAGGCTCAGAACGAATGCATTGCACGGAGCTGAGCAGAATATAAAGCAGATCTCTGCTGGACCTGAGCACTGGTTCAGCACAGAGCGTCCGTGCCTTGCAAATGGTGCAGGAATCTTCCTTGCCTGCTGCTTCCTTACCTTCTGCATCTGCTGTTGGGTGACAGACGCCATCACAGTCCCACCAGCCCGGCTGTGCACAGCTGTGCCACCTCGACACGTGACCCTTAGGCAGCATGTGACAAATGCAAGCACAGAGCAAGCACTGCTGCCTCCTGCACTGACCTCTCCATGGCTGCTGGCTCCCAGCGCTCAGTGATGGAGCTCTGCTCCAGTTCTCGGTGCTGCTGTACAGAAGCGTTCTGCTCCGGTTTGTTCTTTGTGATCACAGTTTGCTGCTTAGCCCCAGGGAGAAATGGCTAGTTTAATAAACCAGATTAAAAAACTGGTAAACACAGTAGTAAATTAAAGAGGTAGAATAAGATTCAGGTAGGATGAAAAGATCAAGGGCTACCAAACAGAGCAACAAATGCAGTCACTCAAACTCTTTGCTCAGCCAGCAAACCAGCAGCCCTACCAGCAAGGAGCCCAACCACCAGGAGGTGACAAACATGAGACCAAGGGGTGCTAAAACTGAAGGGCTTCCACCAGCAGTTCAGCCAAATTCACTGGCTGGTCTCATTCACAGCTGCTGCTGGGAAAGAGGTTGTTTCCAAACACACTTAGCTAGCAACTGAAAATCCATCTGAAGTAGGTGGTGTTCAGGAAAAAGATACCTTATTCTGTAAGAGAATCCCATGCAAATCAACTCCCCCAGCCCCCCTTCTTTTTGGTGTTTTATTTTGAATGAAAAGAGAATTCAGGATTTTCACTAGAGAGCATCTCATTTCGAGCACAGAATCATCAAATCTTCCAGGTTGAAAAAGACCTCCCAGATCCCCAACCCACCCCCTCTCCCATGCCCGACACATCCCTCAGTGCCACATCTCCACAGCTCTGGAGCAGCCCCAGGGACGGTGAGCCCACCATTCCCCAGGCAGCTGTGCCAGTGCAGCACCACTCCTTCCAAGAAGGACTGTTCCCTAACACCCAACTCGAACCTCCTCAGCACAACGTGAGGCCATCACCTCTCATCCTGTCGCTGCTACGCGGGAGCAGATATCTATCCATCCATCTGTATCTCTCTCAGAAGAAAACCATTAGGTAGTTCTTCCCTCTTGTTTAAGGAGCCTCTCCAGATGACGAAGCTGTTTTGAAGAATGCTGTGTAATCAGTAGGAAAACAAAACAAAGACAAGGCAACAAAGCCAGCCTGCTGCAGCTGCTGCCTGTAAGGCTGTGTCCCTTACTCAGGGAAGCAGCAATCCAGACAAACAATGTTTGCATGCAGTCCCATACCCTTCCCCTGTGTTACCGAGGTCATTCATACCACCACTTCTCATTTCCAGTAATCTTTTCCCCAGCATGCCATCTTCTCCACTCCCCATCTTACACACACATGCTAACTTCAGAAGCCACTCGAGTTCACACGCACAACAGCAAACCACAGCTTCCCTGTTTATGGATTGCACTGTAAAAAAGCACTCCCAACAGCAAAGCATGGCACAGGGAGTGCCAGCAGACAATCACTCAAACAAGGGGACAACCACAGTGACTACAGGAGCAGTTTGGCCTCAGGAGTCCCCCAGCCCTTCCCCCTTCCAGGCACACTGCTATTTTGAGGCTTAGAGAGACATTTCCAGCAAGAGGAAAACCAAACCACCACCCCATGTAACGCCCCCAAAAAAGCAAATGAAGGACATAATCTTCATAAATATCTTCTCTTCCAGTAAGTTTAAACAAGGAAGCAGTAAGGGCTCAGACAAAACTGAGAAATTAACCCTTTTCCCTTCCTTCCCCCCCCCTTTTCCAAGAGCTCTTGTACAGATTGTTCACACTTTCTCCTGCTCTGGAGGAAAACTGTACTTGTGGCCAATCCCAGCACCATGGTACAGACTCATGGTACAGCACTGGAACACCGAGAGCCCTGCAGCAGACAAAGCCCCAGTGTTCCAACTGCCTTGCTGAGCAGCAGAGCTACCCACACTTCCTCTGCAGTGAGGTTCCCATTGATGCTGATCAGAGCTCCTGATACCCCACAGCCAGCTCCAGCATCTCAGCATGCTCACCAGGAACAAGGAACACAGGAATAAGGATAACACGTTTAAATTGTGTTAAACAGTCCATTAGTATCTACTTAAAAAAGCATCAATACTCAAATATTTTTCCCACGTTGACAGTCCTTTCTCCAGAGTTACCAAAAGCCTCGGAAACAGAAGAATTTCCAATGGAGAGCACTCTCACTGTTATCCAGTCTGACACAACAGTTACTTCCTTTGTGAGCTTTCTACCTACTGGTTTTTGGTGTGGTCAGGCTAGAGAACTGTATGTAACAAATCTAAATCATAGCTCCAATAACACTGGGTCTTCACTCTATGCCTTAGTTGAGCTACACAGAAAATTTTGGAATGATCTGGATCGTGTTTTTCCCAGCAAAGACATCAGTTCTTTACCCCAAAGCTCCTTTCCATCACCATATTCCAATTTCCTAGGAATCCAACAAGCACCATCTGATGGCATCTTTCATTTCTGCCTTTTGCTCAGTGACTCGAGGAGCTGGTGACCCCTTGCCAGAAGGAAGCCCCAGTCCAAGAGAGCCTTAGACGACAGGAGATGTTTTGTCCTCTCCTTTCTTAGCTCAGCCCTGCCAAGCATTCCATTAAAAACTCAATGCCAATAAATTGGCACAGAGCAGCACCTTCCACCCCCCGGCTCTATGTCACTGAAGTAGGTACAATGTCACTGTGGTCAAACAGCCTCAAAGGAAGGAAGAACACAAGAGAAATACCTTTCTCTATAATAAATGAGCTGCATGGAAACTCAAACCATCTTTGAAAGTCACAGGCTGAAGGCACCATTCCTATGGCAACAGGCAGCATTCTCCACTGCCTTCAGTCCCCATCCTTCTCCTAGGGAAGGAGAGCAAGATGCACACTGAAAAGCCAACTGAGTTTCTACAAGCAGACAATCAGTGCTCCAACAGCCTGTATTTGGCAAGGTAAATTGTTTCAGCCATTTGTTAAAGCGATGGTAAAGTGTAAGGCAGTCCAGGCCTCAGCAGAATCTCTGTACATCTATTTTGTTCTCATTCATAAAGAAATGTCACAACCCACACAGGCTGAAGCAATGAGTAAAGCAGCAATCCTACACAGCAGCAGCAATCATTAACATCTGTCTTCTGAGAAGCGAGGCGGTCAGAGGCGAAGCGCCTTCGCACGCAGCCAAATTAAAGAAAGCAGACATAAAAGGAAAACGCAAATTAAAAAGTTAAACTTTTATTCTGTTAAAGTGTCCAGTCTTACACATCTCTCGGAGAAAACAATAGCAGCCTTCGGTGCTTATGGTGGAGGTGCTGCTGATCAGCTGCCCGAGCAACCCCGCATACAGAGCGAATGTCAGAAATGTTACACCAAGCTCAGGTCCTGCATGCCAAACCACAACCCTGCGAGTGCATCTACAGAACAGCAGTGAGCCATGTCTAAGCTGTGAGTAGTGCCTTACTTAAATGGATGCATCTGGCAGCTGTAGATGACTCAGGCCTGTTAGCCCCCTTCTCATTAAGTTCAGCCTGGAAAAATTCTCCCCATTGTCCGATGAACTTCCTTTAAAGGAGAGATAGGAAAGAATGGAAGGGTATTTCCAGACGTTCCAAATTAAGCCTTTGTGTGAACGCACGCAGAGTTCACCTTAGTTTTTGGGGTCCAACAATTCAAGCGTAGTTACTTTTGAAAAGGAATTTCAGATGAGATTTCTGGAGGATTTCACAGTACCAAAAACATTTTAACATTAACACCGCAGCTGGAGGGATGGAAAAGGTTCAAATCTGACAATGCTCTTATCCAGTTCTGCTTCGAGCACTGTTACAATGCAGATAGGACAGGAAAACATTTTGGCACCTTTTTATTAAGACTACAGAATCCACTGTGTGGCCAAACAGTAGTAAAAAAATAAATCATTTTTAAATGCAATAAAAGGAAAAAAAATCCAGACAAAATCTAAATGATAGTTTTCCCGTTTAGCATTCACACAGCCTTATTGAGGGTAACGTTTCAGAGCAGATGATGCTACCATTTATGGTACAACATTGGTCTTCAGTGAGAAAAGTCACACCAACATTTAAAAAATCTCTCCATGCTCTCCACAAACAAAAAAAAAGAAGAACCAGAGGGAATGGCTGGCTTCAGGCAAAGATAACTGCACGTGCACTAGAAGGAACGATGCCTCAGTGGAGAGTTTACCTTAATGTAGCTCTAGAGAAGGTACAGCTATCAAGGAAAAAACTATTCCTCCCCTGAAGGACTGAAAATAAATCGATAAATCAAATCATGAAAGTCCCTTTCTGAAGTGGAACAAGGTAAGGAAGAGAAATGTCACAGCTGTTAAATGGCACCCTGGGATGCATTAAAAAGAGCATGGCCAGTGGGGCAAGTGAGGTGATCCTCCCCCTCTACTCTGCCATAGTGAGGCCTCACCTGGAGCACTGTGTCCAGTTCTGGCCTCCCTGGTACAAAAAAAGACAGGGATCTCCTGGGCAGAGTCCAGCAGAGGGCCACAGAGATGATAGAGGGCCTGGAGCACCTCTCAGGTGAAAGGCTGAGTGAGCTGGGCCTGTTCAGTCTTGAGAAAAGACAACTCAAAGGAGATCTGATCAACATCTGTAACTAAGGCGTGGGGGCAACGGGACAAGGACAGACTTTCCAGCTGTGTGTGGCAACAGGACAAGGGGAAATGGCCACAAACTAAGCATGGGAAGTTCCACCTAATGCATGCAAGAACTCCTTCACAGTGAGGGTAACAGAGCACTGGACAGGCTGCCCAGGGAGATTGTGGAGTCTCCTTCTCTGGAGACATTCTAGACCCATCTGAATGCCTACCTGTGCAACCTGGTCCTGGGAGCCTGCTTTGCAGGGGGGTTGGATTAGTTGATCTCTAGAAGTCCCTTCCAGCCCTACAGTTCTGTGATTCTGTGAAATCAGTAACAGCTTTTCCCCCATACATATCATCTCCTGCAAAGGATGTGTCATTGTTCTGACATTCCTAGAATCGTGTTAGAAAAAGAAGAGGACTTCAGTGTGGTTCAGCAACAGAAAGCCACTTAATACTATTTATGGTAATGACACCAAGCATTTGCTTTAATTAAAATGAAATTAGCTAAGTGGAGTGTAGAAATGGTAATAAGAGAAATAAAAAATGAGGTAGGACATTCAAGAAGTGACAATTAATACCAAAGAACAGCACATCACAACAGATACCTGTAACAGCTTGCATTGGGCTGTTACATTTCACCATTCAGACTGATGGAGTGAATTAATTCCCACTGCTGAGTTAACTAGGGACCAAAACAAAGTCAGAAAACAACTCGAAAGAAAAACTTCATCTAACATTCCAGTGCATAGTTTCAGAGATACAGCAAATTTTAACACATTTAATAGGTTTGGTACCACCCACCTTACAGGTGGTTCAAATAATCCATTGTAACTTACTACTTTTTGGGGTAGTTGGAGTGAAAGGTAGAATTCTGTTTCACTGACCTCCAGTCCTAGCATGGGGTGAGCATGCTCAAGATCAACAGGGGGTCCAAGAATTCATTCAGCTCAGCAGTGCTATTAAGGAAACTGTTTTAATTCAAGTTGTTTTATGATTTAGCAGCTAATAAATCTGTTTTGCTACCAACTAGAGTGCTTTGAAAAGACAGGTCAGGACAACAAGACACTGACCTGTTGATTGTCTGCATAAGGTGAGCTTTTCTTCCTGAACATACAGATTTATGTCAGAAAAAGCAAAGCTTCAGTTTGACAGAGATTGAAAGAAAAATCATAATATACACTGACTGAACACTTGCAAATGAGGAAGGATTGTTGATGTAAGCTCATCCCTCAGACTGAGCAATCCAGGCAGGTATGGGAAGTTGAGTGAATCACCCTGCTGTGGGATGAGCTTTACAGGAAGTCTGAGCTGTACATGTGTTCAGACCTCACGTTTCAGACCCTATCCTTTAAGTTTTAAAGCTTCCTCCATTTCATCATATGAAACTGATACTATGAAATCACTATCTCTTTCATGGAAGACCAAGAAGCAGACGTCAGGAGCAGGTAAATATTGCTGTCTTCCAGAATGGCAATGTATTTTTGTGCCACCTGTGTTTCTGGTACAAGAAGCTATCAGACTACTTAGCTTTCTGAGTGACAGCTTTGAGATATCTCAAGCTCTAACAGCCAAGACTGAAAAACTGAGCTTTGAATATTGAAAAAGGAGCAAAAAGCTAGTGTTTCCATGCATGATCAATACTGGCCTGTCTTAAAATTGCTTTGTAGACCTCAGGCATAGGGCAGTTTCTACTCAGCAAGCAGCAGAAGTATAGCTGTCATTTGATAAGAAGTTAGAGGCTCACTTCTAGCAGAATAGCCTATTGTCTGCTTCTCCTATGGATTCGGCACTGAGATACATAACAGTTCAGGAGATGTGCAAGCTTCTGGAAGCACTACAGCATAAAAGCAGGAGCTGCTTATAGAAACTTCTGGCCTAGCTGCACAAAGCTTAGTTTGTATAAGTGACATCTTGAATCAAGAGTTAAAGCATTCATCTACAATGACCTAGACACACAGGAGAAAACTGTTCCTGTAAGCTAGGTTACAATCCTACATTGCCCTTCAGCCCTGTCTAGCCTAAAACACACATGTTGTAAACAGATTACCCAGTGGCCTTGAATACAACACAGACTTCAAGCCTCTCAATTCAATTGCCATTACTCTCCAGCACAATCTTTTGGCACAGAGTAAGGAAGAAAACAAGATTTCCTTTGCCATCCAAACAGCCCCTACAGCCACCATGAGAAAGTGCCTGGAAAACAGTACTGCTGTAGCTAAGCCTAAAGCCATTCCTGCCTTACCCAAGCAGCACTAAGTCTACCTTGCAATTCCTGTCCCACCAATTCAAAATGCTCCTGTGCGTGAATCCAATCCAAAATGCATCAGCACCAACACTCCTGAGCACCTGTGCTTGCTCTGATGCAGTGCATTTTGGAATAATGTTTCCCATCAATCTGGCAGTGGCTCCAACTCTAACATAATTTGAACACTAACCCTGTTAGAAACAGTGCCTTGCCTTCCAGATAAAGAAAATTATATTATTTCTCTGGACTGTTTAAAGCTTAACAGTGAACTAAGGGAGGCAGAATTTATATCTTCCTTAAAAGCAGTTTTATAAACAGATTTCCTAGATTTTAATACAGCTTTATTTAAGCATCTGAACATCAACAAATCCAGAGCCCAGTTAACATTGTTCATGGTTTCAGCATGTTTAGTGTGTATATTTCATATCTTACATCTCATGAGAAAAGCCATAGCGCCCTATTGCACCAACATCCAAGGGATCATCAGGGTTTGCTAAGCCAGCACTCTCACTGGCAGTCTGTCAGGAACTGCTTCAGAGATGGCTGCAGCTTCCTCCCTTTGTGCACGCAGGAAGCCTCCAAACATTTCGTGCCTGTTTGCAGCACTCTACCTTGGAGACAACCTGCTGGCTTGATGCGGAGTATTAAATCAGGACCTGCAGTCCATGAGCCTCCTATTCCTTCTGATGGAAAAGGGCAGACTTAGGGTGTATTGGAGACACACCTTAACCACTCCACCTCGAGACATGAGTAGCAGCAGCTATCACAGGTTATCTACCCCGTGCAGGATTTTGTCAAACAATACCAAACAGGTCAGACTTGTTTCAATAAAGATTGCTCTGTTCAAGGGATCTAGAGATCAGTCCTCAGAGGATTCTCACACTGCTCCTTAACAACAGCAGAATGAAACAGGGAAGAATAGGACAGGTTACTTTTCCAGCACCAAGTTCAATCAGCATTAGCCTCTTACTTAAGAGGTTAACAGGAACTGACAGCTGCTGAAGGGTGAAAGACAACAAGAAAACAATCAAGCTGGTCTGTAGATTTTGTTCCTAAAAAAAAAAGTTGGCAACAAATCTAACAGCTTTATGGGCAGGGGCAGAGGAAAACCGAGTTATTCCTCTTCACTATAAACACTGCGAACCCCAGGGGACATCTTGACACACTGGTTTTACATTTGCATTTGTTACGTGACAGAACATCAGGAACTTAAAAGCAGCTTGAAAACTTTAAAAGCCAAGATCATGAAGCAACTCAGTGCTTCTGGGAAAACAGATGAGGCAGACCAACTGCTTTTAATCCAGATCTTTTGTATTACCCAGATCATTTGTTTTCTAGGCTAAAGGCCTGGAATTATTTTGGTTAGAGCCTCCAATGCATCAGTTGGAGAAGAGGATGCTATGTGATTAACTCATCAGCACAAGTGACTTGAAACTGCTAAAAAGTGCAATCTAATGCACAGATGGAGTTCTGGAGGGAGAACTCCTTCCCCAGGGGAAGAAAACAGGGTGTCAAATACAAGGGGGAAAAGACAATTTGTAACAAAACACAATCCTGCATCCAAATTGATGTCTCAGATAAATTTACCCCCCAAAATCCCAATGCCAGCATCTAGGTAGAATAATCAACTCTGTATCCTATCCCTACCAATCTGTGGGGCCTCACTTACTGAATTGCTGAGTTGGAGGGGAATAGTACCAGGTGTCACAAATAAGGAGGTACTGGAAGTTTCCTAGACTCTTGATCACTGCTTGCAGGACACTCATTCCCTGACACTATAATTCCCCTTTGAAGCAAGGCAGCAATCCCCACATTTCCTTTTCTCCTCCATTCAAAGGAGATCATCTCTTTTCACCAACACCACTCACTTCACTCCGCTTCCAGTCCAAAACAGCAGCAACATCTCTTACTCCTACTGGCCCTTGCTCAGGAGCCATCTAACCTGTCTTGATCCTCATCCTGATCCCAAGCTTTCCACATCCTGCACCCGAGGCAAGCAGCAGCCTCAGAGTCATCATTGTTCAGGGACTCCTTGGCTAGTTCGATAGTGATTGGAGAAGAGGAAGAGGAGGATCTGGGAAAAAGGGTACTGGAATGGCCTTGTGTTTCCTTCTTGTTGGTCAGTGGTTCCTCCCCCTCTTTCAAGGGTTCAGGCTTGCTCTTTGTCTGCCCTCCACAGCCGCTCTTTGACTTCCAAGGGCAGAGTGTTGAACAAGTCCTCCTCCACCACAAGCCCGCTGCGTTTCAGCAGAGGACACTCTCCCAGCTCCACTGGCAGGCACTCCAATCTGTTCCCTCGCAGCTCTATCTGTGATAGGTTTGTTAACTCTCCAACACGGGATGGGAGTGACTGCAGCACATTGTTTCCCAGGTTCAAGGTTCTCAGCTTCCTGCACTGGAACAGCTCCGGCGGGAGATTCTCGATCTACAGAAAGAAAATCAATTACAGATGAAGTCACCTAATAGCACACACACTCGTAAGACAATAACAAGGTCACACATCTCACACAGCTCACTCCTTCCTTAAGTGAGCTCCTGCTCTCTACCATAAGGAGTGCTCCTGAAGTAAGGACTCACATAGCATGAAGCCTCCCAGACAGCTCTCCCACTGGCCATTCTTCCCCAGCTCCTCTCAGAGCACCACCATGCCAGCAGATGTCAACTACTTGGCACCTCTCAGCTTTGAGATCCTACTGTATCAACCTTTTTAAACATTATTCTTCACATCTCACAGAAAAGCTAAAAGCCTTCTTGTATATTTTCATTTATGTATAAGATATGGTAGATTTCTATGTACTCCATTACCTGGAGCAGACATTACATGAGTACAATTGTCAGGCACTGAGAATTGAGAGCACTCTACCAATTCTGTAGGGTTTGGTATTGTTGCAGGGACTTGATAGGCTTCAAATTAGAGTTGGTTTGGGTTTTTTTGGACAGTACAACAGAAAATGAAGTCACCATCTGTTAGCTTTCCCACCACTGCCTTCAAGTCACTAATTTAACAAGTCTCATTTCTATTACTCCAGTATCTTTCCAGTGAATTTCTAAGAAAACAATATAGATAAGGTTTAACAAGCACTAGGCCAGGAATTAAGTGCAGCAATTCAATATTCTCCACTAAGTTCAAAGCCTCATCACGAAGATTACTAGTTGCCTTTATACACAATTATGTCTCTTTTTTAATCTTGAAATTATGCATGACACTGCTAAATTGAACTGTAATCAATTCTGAATGAAGTTAAGTCCAACCAAAAGCAGAGACAAGACCAATTAAAAACAGCTAAATTCAGCCATTGTTACAGTGCTGTCAAGTGTTATGTGAACAGCAACATGCAATCGAATGATCACAGAAAGGGTGAGGTTGGAAGGGACCACTTGGGATCATCTAGTCCAAACACCCTGCTCACAGACTTCTGAAAATAAAACTGTTATTTAAGGGACAAGTATTGGTTTAGGAAGGAAGCAGCGTGCTATAATATGGCCTGCTTCCCAAAATGGTACACTGGTACCAGCCAACTCCAGCAGCTCCTATTTGCTAAGACTGTTGAGCTAAGAGAGGACATTTGAGGTAACTCCTGGCCTTGGGAAATGCCTGCCTACCAGCCCTTGTGTTCCTTGCTGCCACTGTTCCCTGTAAGTAACCAGGCTCAGAGCCCCAGGGTGATAGTGCTTTTCCCAGGCACCTGCAGGGGATAAGCAGCTTGGCTGTTTCACTGGGTTCACATCACTTTCCACTTCCAAACCCAGTGGAGCAGAGGATGCTCCACAGCTTTCCTGTTGCATCAGTACTTTCACACAGTAAAACGGGTGGTGTCACACAGTGCTGCAGAGAATAGAGTTGTCTAACTCCTTTTCCTCTGAGAGGCTCCATCCCAGGACTGCAGAGGATACACCACAGATCAACCCTCAGGAAGTTGTAGCAGCAAGGTTCCCAGAAGACAAATGGCATAAAACTATCTGGGTTCTGAACAGCACAAGCAGTTAAAACTTTCTTCATTTTGTTTAAACACCAACCTCAGAAAACAGCCCTCTCAGCCACATTCACCCTAAGAAAATATTCTGGCTTTCAATCTGGTATGAAATGTGTGCATACCATGAAGTTGTAAAGCTTAAGCCACCCATACAGAAGGTGGCACACTTCCAGAAGCCACTTATCAGACCTGTCTGTGCTTCGTACATTCTGGTAGAGCCTTCTGCAACTTCAGCAAAGAGAGCGAATGAAAGCCTCAACAAGTCCTCCAGCTCAGCACAGCCTGTGTGATCACGGATTGATCTTTGACACCTGGTAAATGAGGCTTCCTTAATCCCAAAAAGAGTAACAAACACAAAGGAAAACCCATGGGACAGTTTGTTTTAAGCAATTAAGCCCCTTCCGACCCAAGGTAACCAGGCAGCATAGCACACTTGGTCATCTCCCTTGTGACCTGCCTTGCACTTAAGCCAAGTCTAAGTTTCAACTGTCCAAGTCTCCACCTGGGATTGTACAAGAAAATCCACAGCCATTGCACTGAGGCACAGTAAGGTGCCACACTTTCTACCCTTTAAGTCAAGTCTAATGGCCAATTGACAAACCTGGTTTTAACCTATTCTTTCCAGAGAAAGCACACTGTAGAAGACAGTTTTACTTCCTCTAACATAACCTTTGTGGAACAAGACAACATATTTTAAAAGTGACAGATTAAGAATCATGTTTCTTATGTTTGTAACATAGAGCTTCTCACACAAAATATATGTTACAAGACTGAACTACAGAGCATTCCCCAGAAATAAGTAGTACTGCATGAAAATTGTGAGCTGCACACACACACATGCTAGATGGCTGCTGTCACTGTGTATGTACTTAGCTAAAGTACAATGAAAAGTACTACATTAAGATTAGTTTCTTAGATCTCCATTTTAAGACCAAAGCTGATGTCAATCTAGGGAGTACAAGCTTCCAGCTGCAGAGAAACAAGTGTCAGACAGGCTTTAGGAAACAGTCTCTAACTGCTACTTAAGAGCAATTTTCCTGGAAGAAAAGGAATGTTACAAAACAAGAGCTGCTCAACACAAGAAAAGAACTTCCTCCGGAGTTATTTGCCTTAGATAAAGCCCTCAGAAAAAAACTAAAGCTACAGAATTTAAATAGAACAGCAGTGCCAGGAATATTTCACACATCACTGTGACACGTTTAATCCCACAGATAACAGACACACCAGAATTGCCTGTGCTCACAGAGGAACACTCAGCTCCTGCTCACTTACCCTGTTGGCTGTCACAGCTAGGTTCTGCAGGTTTTGAAGAAGTCCTATGTCTGGTGGTATGGAAGTCAAGTTGTTGTGGCTGAGATCCAAATACCGAAGTTTTCTGCAATAGAAGAGCTGGGTAGGAATCTTTTCTATCTTGTTACGATTCAGGTAAAGGCGCTCTAAATTGGTAAGGTTGCCTATTTGCATGGGGATGTAGGCAATGTGGTTGTACCACAATTTAAGGCAAGTGAGACGATGTAAGTGCTGGAAGCTGATGATTTCCTCAATGGTCTTGAGGTTATTGTCCTTCAGGTCTATCTCCTGCAGATTGTGGAGACTAAAGATGGAGTGAGGAATGCGCTCCAAGTCACAACGGATCAGCTCCAGCTCTGTCAGGTTGACCATTTTCTTAAGGCTGTTGAGAACAATGAGCTTGGTGCCCTCATTGTTGATGGAAAGCTTCTGAAGATGCACACCAACATCTGTCACCACCTGTGGCAGCTTGGTGAGGTTACTCTTCAACCTCAACACCTTCAGCCTCTTCAGCTCCCTCAATCCATCTATTACAATGTACCGGTTGTTTTCAGCACTCAGATTCCCTGTCAGATGAAGCTCTTCTAGTGTTTTCAGGCTATAAATCCAAAGAGGAATCTCCTTGATGTCTGTGAACTTGATGTGGAGAGATTTCAAATTCTCCCTCAAGAAGGCCAGGGCTGGAGCCTCAATTTTGGCAGCGGTGTGGTAAAGCCAAAGTTCCTTAAGGCTGGTGAGCTGAGCAATGCTTGGGGGAATGGTGACATCAGGGATAAGCTCCAGCTTCAAGACCTCCAGCTCTATAAGGTCAAAGACCGTGTCAGGAATGCCACTCAACATGAACAGATGCAGCTCCAGCTTATCCTGAGAGTTCTTTGTGATCCTCTGCCGCAGCTTCTCCAAAGTCCACTCATTGTTGAGGTTCAGCTGCCGCAGCTTGTTCTCACTCACCTCTGACAGAAAGACAGCAAAGCGCTTGGAATACAAGGGGTCGTATTGATCAATCAAATGGAGCATAAAAGCAAAGTCATTTTTCACATCAGGAATGTCACTGTAACTGCTTTCCTCACGGATAGACTCAAAGGAGTATTTCTTGAGTGATCGCCTCAGCATCCACCAGAGCGTGTACATGCAGATCAAGCCATAGACTACAACCAAGCTGATGTAGAAAGATGCCAAGATTTTGAAGAGAGTGGCCAAAGGATGAGCACAGCGATACATCCTGTAGCCAGTCAAGCTCTCAATGTCCACCTTACAGTCAACATCAAATGTTATGTTGTTGACATAATAAACAGTATAGCAGATGATAAGAATGAACTTGATTACTTTGATGATGGTCTGTCTCATGTAGAGGCGATACACTATATCTCCCTCTTCCACATGCGTACGGAACTTTTTCACTTTTTCAAAGAGTGCTTTGGCCTGTTCACCTTCCTTTTTGTCCAAGACACCTGTCTCAGATCGGTCCACAATTCCTTGTTCAATTCGAGACTTTGTTCTCTGCAGCATGGGAACAGTGGCTTCCACATCCTCACTGACTGTGGAGGATTTCTTGTCCATGGAGCCATTCATTTTCCCAAATGCTGGCTTGGTATCGCTCTCTTCCACCACTGTTTCAGATAATGCCCTTGTTGTCCATGGAGAGTCAAAACACTTAAGCAAAATAGACACAAAATGCTCCAGCTTGGAGCTGGTCCTTGGAAATTTGAACCAGAAGTTGCTACAAGCCAGGAAGATAAGAGTATGTAGCAGCACCAGATAAGGAAAGTACTTGGCAAACCAGTGAAGGCGGTTCTCATAACACACCGCATCCACATAGTTATACTGGTGCCGGTCCAAATCATATTGGATCCCTGTGGGCCCTGTATCAGCAGAGGGAACAAGACTAGAGTTATAGTATATACGTTCTGGAGTTACAGCTGTCCAACCTCTGACAGTGTCATTGCAAGAGTCTTTGGTAATCCATTTACAGGGCAAACAAATCATTTTGTCCTGGGTGACCTGAAGTGTCCCTCCAAACACTGCAATCATCAGCATCACTATGGAGATGTAGTCCGTGAATACGTCCCACCATGGCTTCAGGATGCGGTATGCTGGCTGAGTGTCAGCAAAGTATCTCAATTCAGTGACTGGAATCATGATTCACCACCTGAAAGGAAAACAGAAGCAGGCATTACTAAAACTCTTTTATTCTGCTCTTCTAGAGGGTATATGGAAACTCACATTTTAAGTGCTGGCAAAGCAAGACTGAATTAAGTCCTAGTTTCAAGTCACCTGGATACAAACAAGTGAGACTACCTGAGTGAGGTACCTGGTTACAGCTGAGGCTGTAAAGCTATTGTGGTGGTGTTCACCCTCACAGGTGAGAGAAGGCATCAGAACTGGTACTTCTCATTAGCAGGCTGCAGGTAGAAAATTCACATTGAAAGAAGGCTTCTAGGACTATAACTCCTATGACAGATGAGTAGTTGGAAGCTTTCAGCTTTATCTGGAGATGTCATTTCAGGGACAAAGGAATTTGACAGCATTATTAGAGAAAATCCACACGCAGCGCAGTTATGTGTTTGTTACTCTTTCACTGAGCTAAGAAATAACTCCACATCTCTGTGGCTCTCCAATTGTAGAGGCAAGAAAGAGGATTTAGAAGCATTAGGTATATTTCCTAGAACCACTACATTGACGCAACCCATATTTGATTAAGAAAATTGGAAAAGAACAAAAAGTTGCTTGATATCATCCCTTTTCCTTCCACAGGAAGAAGTTCTGGCTCTCCACCTCACCATCAACTTCCCAAAGAAACAGTACTTGCCAACAGATAGGCTCACTTCTAAAATCCTGTAACAGCTACTCTTTGTTTTCTTCACTTCAGAAGTATAGGAAAGGGGAAGCATACTTAATATAAAAATTCACTTCCCTGACCAACCACTCCCACCTAGAGTTCGCCTCAGCTGGGATTTAAGAGTCACAAAGGAAATGAGAAGGTTCTGGGAAGGGAGACCTTATGGCAGAGCTTGTTCTGTCCTTTAGAGTTCCAGAAGGAAAAAGCCATAGAAAACCCATAAGCCTGACAGATCCGTAAGTGCAAACTCACAAAGCATCCCCTGTATCTGAAAGGTGACACAAGTGAAATGCATGAAGCCATTATAACTTGTTCTAATGACACTGAAAAAGCAGTAATATCACACCATACTTGCTAGCAGTGTTCAGGCACCAGACAAGCACAAATCTTTGTTGTTTTGAGACTCCCATCAACTCAACTGTAACAGAGGAAGAACAAAAGTTCAATCCTATCTCCACCATCCATAAGGCAGCATTTATACAGACAGTCCTGACAAGCCCCAGGGGGCTGCAGGCTTGATAGAAGCTTTTTATATACCACTGGCTGAAGCCAAGCAGAGTGACCACAACATCTGCTTTTGTAGAATATGAGTTTGTATTTAAAATTAACTTCCAGCCTAGAACTGCAAAGGAAGCCCCTCCTAACATGAACTCAAGAAGCACCACATTCCCTAGAGACACTAAATTGAGAACACTATTCCCTGGTTTGTTGCTTACAACAATAAATGGTAAAATGCCAGCTTTGACTTAGAGCTATTTGGGAAGGCTGCTAGAGATAGGCTGAAAGATGACAGCTATCCCCAAAGTAGCATTTGCCCTTCTGCCTAACCAAGTTCAGTTACTGAAGAGTGTGAGATCCAGGGCAGGATAGCTGACATGCTGCATAGCACAAAGAAAATCAAAGATACACACCCTCCCCAGCACCCTCTGCATCCCTTCCACTGTAATCAGACAGAGGAAAGTCCTGCACTTCTCCAGTCCAAGCAAGAGAAAGCCCACAAAGCTTTACAAAAGGAGAACACCAAGAGTTACTGCAGCCATCTGCTGGAATAGTTAACTTTGTCACGGCTCAGCTTCTCAAATTCATCTACAGGAAAGCACAGCTTCTGTTCTACCAGACTAACAGCTCAGGACCCCTCTGAGAGCAACACATCACCCTAAGGGTCCACAGAGGTCCAGTGTCAGTCTCCCAGCCAGTGCACACTCTCCTTAAACATTCCTGCCAGGTGTGATGTACAGCTTCTGTTGTCACTCCTTCCAAACTACATCTAAGAGGCAACAAACACTGCTGTACCCCTCACTGCTCTCCCATACTGCTATGTAGGATCCTAATTCCTCTTTTCCTTCAGGAGCATGCAGAGAGAACTCTACTGCTGTTCATCAAAGAACTGCTCCCTACTTAAACACTTTCCTACTCCTCCCACCTTACATTGAGGGAAACAGACACTCATCTCCTCTCTTTCTCTTGTCTCAATACCACTTGTCCCCAGAGATCCTTTCTTCTTCCTTCCAGTGCTTCTTCACTCCTGGCAGGGAAGTCTTTGCAGGAATTGGGTCCTTCATAGCTGCCCACAGAAAGGTTATGAAATAGAGATGAACTTCTCAAGAAGCAGAGTCTCACGGTTAAGGCATTTTCCAGACTTGAGCTGAGTGCTGCATTGCCAGTTTTTCTCAGTCTAAGAAATACCTCATTGCTTTTTTGCAACAAATCTAAGTAAACACAGGATTAGTATCTCAAGATAGCTAGGAAGGAAAGCAAAAAAAAACTAGGGCAACAGGCTCCCTAATTCTATTTACCAGCCACATGGGATAGGAAATCTCCCTTTACATTGTGCAGTTACAAGACAGCTAACAAATCATCTGTTTGAATGTCCCACGATAGCTTATTACAGCTCCATATCAGCATTTAAACCCTGGTGTGGTGGAGCAGGAAATCCCCTGCCCTCCAGTAACAATGATAGGGTCACTGTGTGAAGAAAAGGACATTCTCAGCAAGTTCCCACTCCTCCTGGCAGCTGTGGAAACCCTGTTCAAGTCCCAGATGAAAAGCAATAAAACAAGGGGTCATTTTATAGAAGCTGGAATCCCCCAGGTCTTATCTAATCTTATTTGTGGTAAAAGGGAAAACTGACCACCAAAACCTTAGGAAACCAAGGGGAAAAGCTACCGCCCTCCTCAACCAGATTTCCCATGTGTGCAATCCATTCCAGTTCCTGAAAGACCTGATGACTGTTCTGCAGCAAAACAAGCGTCATCATTTTGTAGACCCCATTTCATAATCTTTTAAAACGTGATTCTGGTTGCAACACTCCCTTCTGGATTCAGGCAGGCAGTTTTGCTGCTGGGGTTGATGACAGCAGGCTAATCTCAAGGAGTCAGATTCTCAGGGCTTATCTCTGCTACCCGATGCTGCTCTGCATGATAGGATTCTTCCCATAGGAACCAGGGTTCCAACCACTATACAGAAACCAAGCGGGCATCTGGAACCCAGACTCTCCCACCAAGTATACAGGCAGCAGAATAGAGGAAGACATTGTTCTAGCACTGTAGTAGAGAAGGTTTGGGGAAGAAAAATCTCAGCTCCTTCAGATTGCACACCTTTCCAGCTGGGGCTCAGAAACTGGCAATTTGTTCACAATTAACTCCACCAAATGGGAGACACTGATACTGAGATTCTGAAAGAGTGCTTAATTCAAGTTTAAAGGTTGAATTAAATCTGCATGAGCCAACAGGTGGGAATATCATAGTTCAAGCCCTATCCTCTTGTCAGAAGGATAAGGAAGTTCTCCAAAGGTATAATTAATTAGGCAAGCTTTAGGAATTGCACACAAAAGATACAAGTGTGCATCTGTCTCAGGTGTTTCAGCTTTCACATTCCATGCCAATTTACCATGTAACTCTCTGAGCAGTCTCCCACTTCTCACTTTAGAAGTGCCATTACATTTGAGGGCTTCAGCTGCACCAAAGCACTGTGCTGCAATTCACATCCAGTGTAGAACAGGCAAAGTAGTTGGAGCCTATACAGGTAAAGACCTATGTGCTAAAGTCTCATTGCAATACAGCAAGACCATAATATATCTATCAATTCAGCCCACAAATACACTCCTAAAAATCTCTGCAATATCCACATTTAGGTACTGCGCATCCCTTCAGTGCCTGCAGATTTACCCAGACTCATGCTGGCATGCAACTACAGACTCTGCTAATCAAGCAACCTCAGGAAGGAAGGCAGAGCCCATTTAATACAAACAAGTCAGGACACCATGGCCATCCTGCATCACCTCCCAGGCACCTACCTACCATGTGCAGTATGAATATTCAGTTTTATTAGGCACACCCGGAGGAAAAAATAACTTAGAAAAACAGGGACATCCTGAGCACACCACATCTAAATAATAAAATCATTCAGAAACAAGAATAAACTTATCCAGCTAACAAAAACCTTGTACTGTAGCATGTACCTTAACCAATAAAGACCAGAGTCAAGAGCATGAATCCTTTTCACAAGATGTAAGACTCTTGTGATATTTAAGATCAAGGAACGAATAGAGCAACTGCAGGAACACAAACATCCTCTGATTTGAAGAATTTCTCTATTAAAACCAACAATAATCTAAACATGCAAAGACAGAATTATTGCTGACAGATGCCTGGCTGAGCTGTGCTTGAAATTCCTGCCTGTACCTGCTGACCAGCATACCCAGCTAGAGACAAAGTGAACAGAAACATCATTGTTTAGTTTCACTGGCTGGTATGTTGTCAGCTTGACTCATCATCTGCTGAATATTTTATCCATCCTCCTCTTCCCTTTCTTCCTTCTGTAGACCATTCTGTTGCAAACAGAGCTACTGGCAAAACAGGACTACATGCAAGATCTCAAGACATGCCCAAGAATTTCCACAGTTTCTATCATTTATTTCCAGGACCTCTTCTTGAAAGCAGAGAAATCCATACCTTTAGTGGGATGCAACATCATAATACAAATTTAAATAGCTAGACAAGGATTTATTGTATATTGGACACTTGCAAACTTTTAGTTTGTATCACACATTCTTAAATCACAGTGGCTTTTAAGATTGTAGACTGCAAAGCAGCAATCAAGCACTGCTGAGAGTTTATCTTTCAGAAGCCCAGAGAACAAGGGAAGTGTTTGTGTGCTGACGGTATCAGAAGTAGACAAGGGAAAAGAAAAACGACTTGGTGCTCTTAAGCCTATAGCCCTGATTTTGACGAGCTGCAACATGTTACAACAAGCTTTCAAAACAGCAGAGCTTCCCTCCCCAGCATGCTGCCACCTGAAACACTAGAGAGGGGCAGAACACAGAGCTCTTTGTTCAAACACCAGGAAATGTAAAGAGCTCTGCAAGTCAGAAGCGGGAATGTAATTTGTGTTCCCTCCCCCTTGTTTATTAGGCTCAGAATTGAAAGCAAAAGGAGGAGGTTAAAACAGAGCTGCTTTCAGTCACTCCTCAGAAAACCTTCCAAACAGGGACAGCCACATGATCAGCTGGAAAAGCCCAAGATGTCAGATGGAATAAGACTCGAGTGATTTTGTTCCTCACTGTTTGTAGAAGTAAACAGCAAGGAAACCAGGGGCCAGAGTCCCAAACAAAAACCAATCATCTTTACATCTGGGTCTGTCTGCAAGATGCCTTCTGAGACAGAGAAGAAACACAAAGTTTAAAGGACTGCACGTCATTCAGACTGGCAGATGGAATAGTGGAACAGTGGCAGCCAGCACTTACACTCTTCACCTGTAGGAACAGCCAACAAACTGAATAGGGAGTAAATTATGTCGGTTTTCATTTAACCACCAGCTGTATGCAACATTCAGCCCCACCCAAGCCACAAGATACAGGAGGATGAAGCAAATTAACTAGGCAACACCTTTACTGAAGCTCATGAAAAAACTCACCTATACTACAGATAGAACTTTTATCATCTTTACAGCTACCTTTTAATTGACTCTTCCTATCAAATGCAAGACTCACGTTCTTAGCAAAGTGCAATAGCTCCTGTTTACTATCACACCAGCAAGCCTGTCCTAACAAGAACATCTGCACAATCAGAACAATCTATGTTGGAGTCCTGGGTTGGCCTGCCCGTTTTCTGCAGGGTTTTATCCCAGCTGCACAGAAGCAAACACTCTGAAGTTATCAGCATCACTGATGCTTGGATCAGGGACCATGTCAGTATGATATTGCTATGGTAATCCAAATGCTATCAGATGATTTTGCTACAGTGATGCAAACCAGAGAAAAAGTCTGTGTCAGCTTATAAATTATGAATGTGTGTGGTCACAGGTTTGCTATCCAAAATTAATTTCCTTTGCCATAGAAAAGATGCCTCAAGGACAAGGCATTGGAGCTTGTCTTTGAAAAGTATGATGGCTTTATTCCAATGGGACACTACAAAACACTTGCAAGTGGTTGAATTGTTATTAACTACTTAAGATTAAAACAGACAACAAGAGTGTTAACTTGGAACAAGCAGAACAGCTTCAAGCACTCCCTCAGCTGCAGAAGTCTATTCAGCATTTAATTCCAGCATTGGAAAATATACAAAAAGGGGTAAACAATTGTCTTTAATTAAGACTGAAATGGTGAGCAGAGCTTTGACATTTCTAACAAGAGATTGAGAAATCAAGACACTAAACTCAAAGCCAAGACTTTTAAGCAACAATCATCACAATTTATCGCTAACAAACTGACAACATCTACAAATTTATTAGCTTGAAAACAGCTGTGGCAACACCCAGAGAGATGAACCAAAGATGAAAGAGGATTTCAACAAGAGCAAAGTAAGACTTCAGCCATCAGCACAATAATATTTTGCCTCAGTCTGACAGAAGAGAAATAAGCATATATTCACCTGCTTATTCCTGACCTTGCAACCTTGTCTTCAGCACCATGAGCTTCAAAACAGTGACTATGACTTCCACTTCAGGACATTTTCTGATTGTATTCACTGATTGATAAGAGAGAGGCAATAAAGCCACGATGCTAAAGGAGAATCTGTTAACTAGTGCAGTGCACAAATTTGGCACAGAGGAGCTTTATATTGCCTGGTAATTTTACAGCAAACATTAACAGAACCTAGTATAGGAGGTAAAAGCACTATTATTCCAGCAGGGTGGTTCTGACTGAATAGCTTTTAGTTTCAAATGCAGTTCAACAGCAGCAGGAGGGCCATATATAATCCAGCTATATCAACTGTATTGCCATTTGCAATACAAAAATGCATGCAAAACAGCTTCGAGAAAAAGCTGCCTGGAAGCATTCAAGATATTCTCCTCAAACAACAGAGGCTGTTAAATGCCAGTTCAGCAACAGCACACATCCTAACCAAGGCTATTTTTGAAAACACTTACTCAGAAAAACATGCAGGAAGGAGGCTTTCTACACTGCAACAAAGTAAGTTTGTATTTAATCTTTACCAAAACAGTGGTGAGACACCCCAGCATGAAGAAGCACCACATAAAATGCAGAAACCCTTCCCTTCTGTACTCCACCACCACTCACACGACTTCACTGTGCTTTCCTAGACACCAGCAAGGCTCAGTTTAACTTCAGTGACTCTCACTTCCCTTTTAAATACTCAACTGAATAAAATCCTCCTTTAGAACATGGAAGACTTCATGAAGGCCTGCAATTAGGATCGTACACAGCAACACAATAACTTACATTTGAATTCCATGACTTTTTAAAATTAAGTCAGAGCCCCCCCCTAAGCCAGGAACTGGCTTTCTGAACACCTGCAGCATTTATGAGAATGTAGTAACTCAAAGCATTTGGGAAGTCATCACTGAAAGGCTTCAGGCACTCCACATTTTAAACATGGAAGGATTAGATTTTAACACATGGCTTCTGGTATATCTTAAGGAGTTATTTATGCACACATTCCCTTTGACCTACATAAAGTTACAGCTTCCAAGTATCATGCACGATCAGCACAACAAAGCAAATCCTTGAACTGTCAGAACACAAACCTGCACTTCCCCACTGCTCACCATTTGACCCATCTGGACTGCATCTCATCCTGCAGATAAGCAGGGCACTCTGCACTTCCTTTCATCACTATTCTAGCAGAGACCCAAAGAGACAAAGTTTCCAGCTACCAATCCTCACCATTGCCTAAGTGCCACCCACAAGGGCAGCAAGTCAGCGTTCTCCTTAGTTAACTACAGAAAAAAAAATGTTTATGAGATGTTTACATAGCAATACAAACATCACCCTGCTGGAAACTGAAGAATACTGACCAAAATAAACAGAGAGCATACAGCCTTAAAGTACTTTTTTTAACAAAAGTAGTCAGAGTCTATGCAGCCAGGAGTTAGATGGAGGGGTAAATGCAACAGTTAAGTTTTACATCAGACAACACATTGTTACTTCACTCTTTTTCTCCCCCACCTTAAAGCTTAGGGCTCACAGATTTAAATAAGCATATCACCACTCTCCCTGATCCACCACCTTTCCTCCTTGCTCTTTCATCAAACACCTTATTGCTGCCTCGTGCTTTGCAACTATATTTAAGCAGTGTTCTCATGATTTCATTTGTGTCTTTAGCACACCACTCCCAAAATGGCCTGCAGCCCTTACCCTGCAGTTGGGTTCTGCTATCTGCACTTCAGTTCTCTGTGCTGGAAGTGGATGATGTTCCTGCGTGCTGGATCCTGAGCAGGTGCTGAAGCGTTGCATTCCCCACACGCCATGGGAACAGCTTCCCTGAAATCAAGCAGAGATTATCAGCAGAGAGAACGAAGATCACAGATGAACCAAGTTATGTAAAAGTTTGGAAAAGGATGTCTAAGATTTCAGAAACAAACTAGATGGTCATTGGGAACTAAGAAGAGATGCTGACAGTCAGAAAGATGCTAGAAGCTCTAAGTAAAATTTCAAAGAAGCAGCAAATCTCCAACATTTCTTCCAGAAGCTATTATAAAGCAGGTGCCGCAAACACATTTAAAGGAGACCCTGAGTTCCACTATTGCAACCCAACTAATAAAGACAGATTAACCTCCTGGAGGAAAGATCTAAATGCATCAGGACTCTCTGAAAACACACATCCCTCATCATTTTACACTCAAGCAACTATCCCCACTCCTCACAACACATCTACCAACATGAATCTTTTTAAAGCAGTGGCAATTTAGCACCATCAACAAGAACTACAACAGCTTTTTCTCCTTGCTTCCTGCACATCAGCGTGGGGAAGCAGACAGGGGAGCAAGCTCTGGCTCTGAGGGATCCCTCAAGCCTCAAAGTCAGGGAGGGCCGCAGAACTTCAGAAAGCATTTTGTCAACAAGAAGCAGAGGGGAAAAAAAGCACTGGAAGAAGAAGAGACATCACTAGAACACAACATATTGGTTAAGATGTTCAACCCAAGAACACGTTGGGATCAGCCAACACCAGCATCAGGGTTGGCAGGCTCGGAAGCGATCTGCTCACAATCAGAGCTTTTCCACTCGAGCCGTGCCCAACTGCTGCAAAGGGACAAGCTAAAGGAGAGGACTCGCTGACCTTCCCTCCCCACCCGGCTCTCCCCCACCCTGCCCTCCTCTCAGGGCTCAGCACCGCCCCAAACCACAGCACGACACACCCGCACACCGACAGCGCATCGCCCCTATCTGCCCACCGCCAACCTGCCGCACCGCACCAGGCTCTGTGGGAAAAACAAACAAACAAACAGACATCGCGACAAAACGAGACGAAAAGAAAGTTAATTCAGGAAACCTCCCGGCTTCAAGCTGCCCCCGGGAACAAGCACACACCGCACCTCCTCGCCAACGGGCTGCCGGCAGCGCAGGGGCGGCCCGGCCGCGCCCCACACAGCCAGGGCCGCGTCCCCCGGCAGCGCAGCGACGGCGGGCACACGGAGGAGACGAATTACTGCTCGGTTAGTCAGCGAGTCTCCCCGCCCGCGCTGCGCCCGGGCCCCACCTGCCCGCTGCTCGCTGCCCTCCTGTCAGGCTGCAGCCCCTCAGAACCCCCTTCCCGCCCGCCGTCCCCTTCGCACAGGGGCGGCCCCGCCCGGGCGCCCTCCGCTCCGAGAGGCAGCGCGGCGGGAGGCAGACAGGCCGCAGCCCATTCCCGCCCGCACCCACCTGTCCGCACCGACTCTCTCCAGCCCCCGCCCTCCCTCACGCCGGCTCGGGCTCCTTTTGTCCGCACCGAGGCGGCCCCACCCCGGAACTGACCTCACCCACCCGGCATAGGCGGCCACCAGGGGAGCGCCCCGCCGCCGCCTCTAGAGAGGAGCGAAAAAGGGCGCCGCCATCTTGGAGGCGGGCACAAGGGAAAAGGCGCGCCGCCATCTTTACGTAGGGCGAGGCCGCGCAGGGTGGGACGGAATTTATGTGTCCGGATATATCGAGGAGAGAGAGAGGGAGCGAGGGAAAGTGAAGGCGCGGGCGCCATCTTGTTGTAGGGCAGAGCGCAAAATGGTGGAAGTCTTAAAGGGGCAGCCACCGGGAGCTGAGGGGCGGGGCGGGGCGGGGCTGGGCTGGAAGGAGGGGTAGGGTAGGGTAGGGTAGGGTAGGGTAGGGTAGGGTAGGGTAGGGTAGGTGGGGGGACAGTGCCCTCACCTGCTGTGGCAGTACAGTGGATTCCAGAATTCCTTCTTTTCCCTAAATAAAGAGATTTACATCTTCATTAAGGTTTGGTTTGGTTTTGTTTTGTTTTTTTTTTTTTTGTGAATATGAGTGGTATCAATATCAAAGCTATTTAGCAGTAAGAGAACAAATACAATTTAAATAGCATAATTTACCACTTTTCCCTTTAGAACCAACTTACGCAAAGTAAAATGCTCTGAAAGCCCAATTCCTGATCTCTAACAACTGTCCACCAAATGAAGACACTAAAAATGTGGCATTCCTTTCCTCACCGGAGGAAGAGGGACAGTGGTGCTGTGAGGATTTATCCATGAGCAGTTCTGTGGGATCCTCCTGTGGTTATTTTCATTCAGCTGACTCATTTGTCCAGCACTGGTCTTTTAAAAATTCATAAAGGATGCTTCAAAGGCATTCATTGTAATGTCATTAGTGCACAAGAAGCAGCACGGGGCAGGTAAGTGCAGCCAATTTGGACTGGTGGATACCAGTGGTTGCTGCTACAGTAAAATAAGCACAACTGTGGCTTTCTAGGAATGTGATGGGTCTCAGCCCCACAGCAGCAGGGATCTCTCCTGCCAGTGTTGGAGATGCTGACAAGCTCAGGGCAACAGTGGGGTTTTGGCAAACATGACATTAAGTGGTTGCATTAAGCGCACTTAAATTAACATTTGCTTTCTGTGGTGCTTTAAGCAGACATTAAGGTGGAGTTGCACATTACTGTTGAGCCAATATAAAGGTCAAATCCCATCAGAGAAGGTGGGAGCTCACACTCCCTCCTGTGGCCCCATCTCCCTGTGCTATCCCAGGGCCCAGCCAGCCTGCCGACCTGACAGAGATGAGCCTGCTTTCTGTCAGCAGGGCTTTCTGCTGGTATGGCCCTTCTCGAGGGTCTAACTCGGGGTCCAACAACTACTGATGATCTCTGCTGGAGGGATGGAGCCGCCAACCACCTCAGGATGTGCTGTGTAAATCCTTCTGGGAGCGAACACAAGCTGACCTGCCAGTTGTTTGCTTTAGTGTTTGGAAGTTTAGCAAACAGAGTTTGAATCTGCCTGCACAGAAATTCCCTCCCTTTTAGTCACGGTGGGCCCAGCAGCAGGGTGTCGGGTCAGGAACCAGGACCTTTGCACAGCGAATGTCAGTGCTTCCTTCCCCATGCCTCACTTTTTCCTACTGTGAGAGAGAGACAGTAATCACTTGGAAGAATGTCACGACCTGATTCATCAGTGCACACAAAGCTCGGTCACAAAAAGGAAAGGGAAACCGAGAGAGGATGATTTGCTCCCTACGCCTCACTTGAGCAATGGCCACCTCTCACAGAACTGATAGAGAATGCAGCTCCTGCATCCATGCTGACACTCCGTCTGAGGCTGGGGTCTGTCTCAGAGACCACACGCAGCCAGACAGAGCCGCGGGGCCTGGCTTTAGGCTGGCTGATTATCCTTTGATGAACCCCAGACCTCCTTTTCCCTGCACAGTTCCCCCCATTGGTGCATCGCAGCCCAACTGCTGCCTGCCCGCAGCCTCGCAGACTCCTCCCAGGAAGTCCCAGCAGCAGATGAAGCATTCCGGGTCCATGGAGAAGCCGGCATTCATGCAAGTTCAGCCCAGGCACCGGGGCCAGACTTCTGCAGCGTAATGCAGCGTGGCCCAGCTTGACGTAAGTCGGTTTTGCCCCCACTGCTGCCCCTGCTGAGGGGCCAACGCGTGTGCCCTCTCCAGCTGCTGCTGCTGCTGCTGCATCCGCCCTGCGCTCCCATTGTGCCCTGTGCTGTGGTGGCTGCTGGGGTCCTGTGTCCCCAAGCCCTCCAGGTGCAACCTGGCAGCGTCTGGGCAGCACTGGGACGGAGGAGACCGCAGGAGTGACGGGTCCCTGCGGTGACCTTTTAGCTGTGCCCCGTCCCGCTTGGCCGGCTCTTTGCAGGGAGCACAGCTACAGCACTGCCTGAAAACCCAGTGAGGAGAGAGGATCCCTGAGCCTTCCCCAGGCTTTTTGGCTCTCTAGTGACTGACCCCATTAAAACACTGCTCAGGGCTGGGGAGGGGAAGCAGAGCCCCTTTCCCCAACCCCAGAGCTCCCAGTGCTGCCTCCAGCTCCTCAAAAGAGCCTTGTGCACAGCTCCCAGGCATGCTCTGCAGGTCGGTGCAACCCAGTAAAGCCCTTTTTAATGCCTCCATTTTGTCACCCACAGGATTAGTTCCCTTCACACCGCCTGTCCTCTGCACAGGAACAAGGCAGGCATTGCACTGTCCCAAACAACACTGTGCTATGTCCCTTGTTTTCCATAAGTCATGCTGTTTTTTCCCACCTGGCAAAGATGTTAAACTGGCTGGCAGCTGCTTTGTATTTGTGTTAAAAGTAACATACAATGCACAGAGTGGTTCTCACGTCCTGCACGATGGGAAGTGCATCTAGCAGTTCCTTATCTGTGGGCTGGCCAGCTTCAAATCTGGTGTGGTTTCTTTTTATTGTTTTTTTTTGTAGGAGGATAAATTAACCTGGTGAAAGTGAAAATGCACGCATCCTCCAGACTCACCCCTTTTATCTAGAGCATCTAACGAGGCAGTGTTATTTCAGCTTTAATACCATGTGCTTCAGCAGTGCTGAGGGAACTTGAAGTGAAAGAATGCTCTGTTTTAGGCACAGAAATTAATTTGAGGCCTTAAAGAAAACCTAAACACCCAAATCCATAAGCATATCTAAGGCCCTTGTTTCCCTTGACAGCCCCAATGGGCAGTGTGTCTGAGCAGCATGGCCAAGCCACAGCCCCAGCAAGGAAAGTGAAGCTGCTGCAGGGGAGGAAGGCAGAAGCTGGAGGCAGCAGGGATCAAAGCAAGCAGATGGGAATGTAGTGTTGGAAACCCAGTTCCTGAGGGATGCCATCTTGCTGGTGTCTGTACCCCAATGCAGAGAAGAGCATGAAAATGGGGGAGAGGAGCAGAAGCTGCGCTTTTTCTTGTGATCCTGCCCTCCTGTGTGTTGCAGGCACAAAGGGCAGTCTCAGCCCTAACTGACATTGCAGTGACAACACACACAGCGTCTGGGCTGCATTTACTACCCAGAGTGCAAAAACACAGCTTTGGGTCTGGATTTGGGCTGTGTCCCCAGGTTACACAGAGCCTTTGCTTTGCGCCTGCAGTCAGGGTGTGATTTTCTCATCCTTTTGCTTTGTGTCTGGGGACAATGCAGGTCTGTGCTGTGAGACAGCAGGAGCCGTGGCATGCTCAGGAGAGCAGGACCGTTTCTGCGTCACTTCTTACTGGAGAGGAATTGCAGCGCTGGATATAGTCCGTACTGCAGCGAGGTACTGAATGCCCAGCATGGCTGCTTCTGGCCTGCAGCCCAGTCCTTGGCTCAGGCTGCAGCTTGTGGAGCCAGGGAGTAAGCCATGGCAGTGGCAGCTGATAGGGCATGTCAGGAGAAGTCACACTGCTGCGATCTCCTCTGTAGCCAGTTATTTCCAGGTAGCGTGTTTAAAGGGAATACCTCACAAGCATGAGAGTACACTTTATAAGAAAAAAGCTCATTGTGGGATTGTCTCACCCGAAGGCGTCTTCTACTAAAGCTTCTTGGGTTGCAAAATATTTTGGAAATGAATATCAGCATCCTCCTGGACAAAGAAACTTGCAAGAGAATAACGTGCAGCGGGGAGACAGTGTTGGAGGGCAGAGCATGGCTTCAGCTGCTCATTCTGCATTTGCAAACCACTGTCCTGCCTGGCCACTAGGCAAATTGCAACTGGAGGATCATTGTCAATTTGGGGAGCAGAACAGGCTGAAATGGATCTGGGGGCTACATGACCCTGAGCCTGTGTTGCTCTCCAGCACAACAGGCAGCCACGCAGGGCAGCATCACGCAGGTTGGGGATGGGACAAGAAGGCATCAAGGGAAGAAACTTTGCCATTTCCATTTCTGAAAGAGTGTGAGCCTTTCCTCCAAACGCAGTTTCTAGACTTATAGCACCTTATTCCTGCTGACCCCATCACTCTTGCCAGTGCTGTCGCATTGTCTGACCTGTGGCCAGCAGCAGCCCCACCACAAAAAATACAGCACTGGAGCTGTTAATGTTTAACCCTCAACTATCTTTTACCTTCCAAGCCACAAATCCTCCTACTCCCACCAAAAACAGCTAAGGCACAAGTCTTGCTGATTGCAATGTTCGTGAGCTTGTGTAGCAGAGAAAGAGAACAGGGGAGAGGCATGGGGGTCCCCTATACCCAGGGAGGCAGCGACTACTGATTGCCCTTGGCCACCTGCCTGGCCCACGGGGAGCACAGAGTCCACTCGCTGCCCTCTGAAACACAGAGCTCCTTGCATTAATTTGCAAAAATCCCCAGCAAGGGTTGGGGTTATGTAAAGAATCCAAAGACCTCAAGGAAAACGTTCTTGGGGCACTTCTCAAAGGCTGAGGCAACTTTGCAGGAAGGGCAGCAGCAAGCAGGTAAGTGGGGAGTTACTGCAGGGGAGACCCTATATCCCCCCATCATCCTGACAGATCCTCTTCCTGCACATCCTAGCTCCACATCTCACGTCTTGGCTGTTCTCATGTGCCTTCCTTCTCCGTGTTTAAATGCATTTTACTTGCTTTGGGGAAGATAATTTTCTTGGCTCAATGCTTTGCAGATGCACTGCTCATGTCCCCATGCTGGCTTTTCTTGGTGCATTAAGCATAATTTGTCTCCAGTTTCCAGTCCCCTCCCTGTCTGGTTGCCTTTTTTCCTGTGCTGCTGAGTTATTAAATTCTACCTCTGCTGCTTTTCATCATCCTTGTGATAAATCCCCCATCAAGGACAGCAGACTTCTCCTGCCATGCTTATCCAGCTGGAAAGAGGCTTTTGCTCTGCACGCTTCCCCCTTCTAGCCCAATAGCCATGAGGCACATGGATATTAGACACCAAAGGGCCTGAGGGCCTGGCAAAGAGATTCTTATGATGGGGGAAAACAGATACTATTCAAAGCAGAACTCTGAGGTCAGGGTTATTGGCCTGGCTGTTAGACCCTGGCTGAGCCCATTTGACCCCATGCTTTATTCCACCTGGAAACAAGATATAAAGCATTGCTAGTGCCCCAGTGAGGGTACCCACTGGGTGAGAAGAGGTGGGAGGGCACAAATATGAGGGCAACCCCCCTGGGATGGCACGTCCCTTTCTCTCGTGGCCCCACTGCCACTGGTGAAAGCTCCAAGTTCTCTTTCTCACTCTTTGCAGGCAAAAATGTCAAGGCCAGTGCAAGCCCGGAGGCTGGAGGGAGTAGATAAGAATATCTGGTGAGTTAAGCTGCTACTGGGCAGCTCCTGCTTTACCCTGGTGGTCCTCGTGGCTTTAGGCAGCCTAATGTAATGGGCTTTGCTCAAAGCTGTGCTGCAGCCAGCTTCAAGCTACAAAGCACTGATGAGATGCTGAGTGTGAGGTGGACACTGAGCCCAGCCAACCTTACCTTTGCAGACCTTTCATGATGTCTGAGTGCAAATTTTTGCAGCTCGAATACCTATCAGAATTGGTGTTGTTTCCTTCAAAAGGATTAAAACCATTCCCACTGAGATAGTACCTGGTTCTGTTATAATTTATACAGGTCTGAAATGCCCTGTGCTTCGGGCAGCAATGATGATGGGCCAGAAAACAGCCCTGCCGTGAAGAAACCCACCTCGCTCCCTGCCAATGGGATGCCAACAAGCAGAGCCAGTGCCACCAAGCTGCCCCAAGCTGCCCAGACCCTCTTTAAATGCTAACTGTTCTCTTCCTTCCATCTCTCCAGGGTGGAGTTTGTAAAACTGGCTACCACCTACTCCACGGTGAACCTGGGCCAGGGCTTCCCTGACTTCCCACCACCAGAATTTTTGAAGGAGGCATTCAGCAGAGCTGTCAGCGGGGAGAAGCACATGCTGCACCAGTACACCCGTGCCTTCGTGCGTGGACAGCCTCCTGCTCGGCGGTACCGCGAGCCTTGCCCATCAGATGGGCCATGGGCAACACGTATCTTGGCTGGGCGTGTGGGCTGGGTACCCCCAGCTGCTGTGGCGGGCAGGTGGAAGTGACCCAGATTTGCATTAACAAACATCCCCTTCCTGTAGTACCTTTTCCAGTCTTCTTTCCAGAATCCTGCTTTGCCATTGCAGAGGTCAGGGTGGCAGTTAGTAGTTTCTGAAATGCTCCTCTGACAGTGCTGGCTGGGCAAGGAGAAGCTGTTCTTATTTAAGAGGGACTTCTGTCACCTGCAATTGCAGTGACAGAGCTGGCAATAGCTGGGGTACCTTGCAAGGAAAAAAGGAGAGAATTGTTTCAGGAAGGAAACATGCCCCTGCTTTGCTTCAGGGACACACTGGCTGATGTGGAGGACCAGGACACACAGGGTTTATTGCTAAAGCTCCCATGGCTCAAGGCACCTGAGTATGCGAGGTGCAGCCATCATGGTAGTGAAACCAGACCCAGGGCACTTGACTACCCAGCCCCATCTGAGGGGCTCATTCCTCTTTCAGAAGGCTTCTACCAGCTACTTCCCACCTGTTCCTCTCACCCCACAGGGCCACCCACCACTGGTGAAAATCCTAGCCCAGCTTTTTGGGAAGCTGCTTGGACGAGACCTGGATCCTATGACCAATGTGATGGTGACTGTGGGGGCATACCAGGCCCTTTTCTGCTGCTTCCAGGCTTTCATTGATGAAGGCGATGAGGTAACCCTGGGACTGGGCTTGTCATATGAGCAGCCTTTCCCTGGGAGAGCTCTTTCTAGATCTGCTGGCAGCTGCAGCCTGGTTTTTTTAGCCCATTTGCAGAGCCAGAAAGGCTTTGTCCACACTTCTCAGTATATCTGAACTTCTAAAGGGAAAGCTGCAGCAGGGCACAGACTCATTTCTGCATAAGGCAAAATAATTCTTTTGCCACAAGTGATGTTCTTCCCAATTCACTGCCCATTGGTAATGCATTTCTCCATATTACAATAATTCAGGGATTAAAATCTGAGCAGGGCCAGGAGGGTGCTGACATTCCCCATCTCTTCCAGGTGATAATCATTGAGCCCTTTTTTGACTGCTATGAGCCAATGGTGAAAATGGCTGGTGGGACACCTGTGTACATCCCACTGAGACCGGTGAGTGGGGCAGAGCAGTGCCACTGAGGAAGGAATAGGAGTTGTATCATGGTGAGCAGTGAGTGGAGAGCAAAGCAAGCTGAGATTCTCCTCTATTCTCTCTAGAAAGCTCCAAAAGAAGGAAAATTGATGTCGAGTGCAGATTGGCAGCTGGACCCGGCTGAACTGGCTTCTAAATTCAGTGAGCAGACAAAAGCCATCGTCCTCAATTCACCCAACAACCCGCTGGGCAAGGTAATGCCTCTGGCTTATGGGGACAGCCCTGAGAGAGCACTGGGCTGCTCCAGCTCAGCCAGTCCCATCTGAGGTGCAGCAGCAACTCCACCTTCCTGATACACAAGGAAGAGGGTTCTGTGGGAGCACTGTGTGCTCAAAGCTGCTACTGCTGCATCTCAGCTCCGCTCCCTGCCTGCTGCAGGTGTTCAGCCGAGGGGAGCTGGAGCTCATTGCAGACCTGTGCGTGAAGCACGACGCCCTTTGCATCAGTGATGAAGTGTACGAGTGGCTGGTGTACGACGGGAAGGAGCACATCCGCATCGGTATGGAGAGCAACGGGGCTGATCCTGGGCTTCTCCTGCAGGGACAACATCTTTGGGCAGCTCCATCCAGGAAAGGAACTGGGAATATAACTGGGGCCCCTGGCAATTGTAAGGGTTGCCTGCATGTACAGCTCTAGCAGGCCCATCTCCCATTAGAGGTATTCAGCTGTACTTCAATTTCAGCCACCACACCAGGGCTTTGTTTTGGAGCTTTGACTTCTAGAACCACTGAGTTGTGGCTTCACAACATGAGATCTGAAGAAAAGAGCCTTTTGGCTTCAGTGAAACTGGATATTATCCCTACACTGTAAAGCCACTGTTTTCTGGGTGTCTCTAGTTTTTGGGACATCCATTTCAGGATGATTTCAGAGGTCTCTTCTTTCTCTCTATAATAAGCAATTACCCTGTTGCAGGGAGGTAATGTTGGCATCTCTGGGAACCCTTGGGACTGGTATATGGGTATAAAACCATTTGATTACGAGGACATGCTGTTGAGAAATCTGTCCGGCTGCTTGGGGTGTGCCTTGGTGCCCATCCAGGAGAAAGATGCCATCATGGCCCAAAGAGACCATCTTGGTTCTGATGGGAAAAGAGCTCCCACCCTGTCATTAGCACAGCTCAGACATCAGCATGGCAGAGCCATCAGCATTTCTCTTGCTTTATCGCCAGCCAGTCTGCCAGGGATGTGGGACCGCACAGTGATCATCGGGAGTGCTGGAAAAACCTTTAGTGTCACTGGCTGGAAGGTAAGTTCCCCATGCAACACCTCATTGCCTCTCCATCCCTGTCCCTTTGCTCTAGGTCACACTAGGCACAGCATTGAGGACAATTGCACACTTAACTTTGAGCCTCAGTTCCTCAAACTACCAACTCTACTTTACAACAGCCCTGTCTGGAAAGTGTTACCAAAGCTTGAGGAGGCACCTAATCTTACCACCTTCCTCCTCTCCTGGCAATAGGTGGGTTGGACTGTGGGATCCAACCGGCTGCTGCAGCACCTGCGTACCGTGCACCAGAACTCAGTGTACCACTGTGCTACAGCTGCACAGGTAAGGCAGCTCCTTGCAGCCAACCCCACATCCCCCGAACCAGCCTTGGCCATCTTCCCTCTGCTTCCTCTCCCTTCACAGGACGCTGTGGCTCAGGGTTTCCAGAGGGAGCTTGAACACTATGGGAAACCAGATAGCTACTTTGTCCAGCTGCCCAGAGAGCTGCAGCAGAAGAGAGACCAGCTGGTCCAGAGCTTGGTTGCGGTGGGGATGAAACCCATTATCCCCGAGGGCACCTACTTCTTGGTGGCAGATATCTCCGAGTTCAGTGAGTTCTGGTGTTGCTTGGGAAGGGCAGAGCAAGGGGGTGAGCTCAGCCTGGTACCACTACTAGGGACAGAAACCTGCACAAACACCATCCAAAGGGGGGAGGGACCACACATTTGAGCTCCCAGAGGCTGTGGGTTTGAGGTGAGGCACCCAGCCACAGCCTCTGTGCTGTTCTTCCTGCAGAATCTGAAGTCCCTGATGTCCCCAACTCCAATGAGCCCTACGACTCCAGATTTGCAAAGTGGATGGTCAAGAACAAGGTAAATTTGTCTGCTCCTTTTTCACTGCGGTGACTGTGGGTGGTTTTGTGCCCTCACAAGGAGCCTGTAGCAGCAGCAGTAGCATCAGTAGGCAATGTCCTCATCCAAGCACGGTTTTAGGGTCACGGCCATGGTGCAGGCAGGGCTGGGGCTCTCCCATCCCATGTGTGTGTCCTGCAGCCCAAGGCTGGGGGACATTTGGGGTCTGTCAGGCTTCAACTCTGTCAGCCTGAGCAGAGCATCAAGGGCATTTATGAGCCCATCTATGAGACTTGTGAACAACAGGTCACAGCTTTGCCCCCTGCCCATGGCAGTTACATTACTCTACATCTTCCCCTTCCCAGGGAGTGGCAGCCATCCCACTCTCGGCGTTCTACTGTGAGGCCCACAAGGACAACTACAACAGTTTCATCAGGTTCTGCTTCGCCAAGGTGAGACACGTGGCCAGGACATCACAGCTGGGCCTGGCCAGCCCACACCCCTCAGGTTTGGCTGTGCCTGCATTACATGAGACACAGGACAAGAATTGGTCTTTTTGTACGAACAACAAGTGTAGTGAGGGGGGACCTGGCTGGAGGCCACAAACTGAACCCATGGTGTTTATTTAGGAGGATGCCACACTGAAGGCAGCAGATGACATACTGCAAAAATGGAAACTGGAGAAAACTGCTCCCTGAAGGCACTGCGGAGGGAACCAGGCTCTTCATGGCTGCACTTCTTCCTCTTCCTTTACTTGGCTACAAACTTTGCTACATCCTGATTTTTGTGCTTTCAACCACATTTTCTGTCAGACAAGTGGGTATGAGGTCTGCCAGGCTCAGGTCTGGGGGACACAGCTTTCACTGTGAAACAATCGCAAGCAGCGAGCCTCCATGTGCACTGCTGCCATTTGGCATTCTTCCTTCGTGTTTAAAGACTTTGCTCATCAGTTCTGAGATGTGTCCGGCAAGACACAAGGGTAAGGATGGCTCCTGAGGTCTTTTCCATCACCAAATTCTGAAAAAGCATTTCAGGACCTACTTGCAGGGCTGCTCTGGGTGCCTTAACTCACTGCAGGGCAGCATTCCCAGCAGCGCTCACTTTCTTCAGGAGACTGTGTGGGGTCACTGCCCTCCAGCAAGCTGATTCCCACAGTCCTGAAAGCTGTAAACCAAGAGAGCTGATGTTTCCAAAAATTAGCAATATTCCCTTTGGTTTTGGCAAGGTGAGTACAGGTTCAGTAACCACCTGCCCTCAGGAAACTGGTCTTTAAATGGAGCTTGGCTATAGCCAAACCTTCCCTGTGCACCCACACATTGCACATAGTTGATGCCTGGCAGCATCCCTTGGGCTGCAAAGCAAAACTGGTGCCTCTGATGGGTGCATGCAGCTCAGAAGAAGGACCAGGGCTGGTGGGACAACGGGAGCAGCATTGCAGCAGGTGGTTCATGCATCATTCTTCATTTCAGGCTGGATAAAAGCGTAGGACATGATCAAAAATTGTGCTGGAGCCACGTGCAACATGAGATAAACATTTGTGACTGTTAAATTATTAAAGTTGAATTAATTGAGAAGTAAACGTGTCTGTAATTATGCGGCAGACGCAGTCTCCCACCTGTTCCCTGGGTAACATCTGCACCACGTCCCACGGCAGCAGTGCTGCAGGACTTCAGCGTTGAGATGCAGCTCAGCGGTGCCCTGCGGTCACCCATCCTCCTGCGCAACAGAGCGCACCCTGCTGAACTCGCCAGGCCGCGCGGGGGATTTAACAGCGCCACTGCACAGCCCTCTGTCCAGCCATTGGTTCACGTGACACCGGCTCCAGCCTATCTTAGGCGGGAACCGGCGCCCTCGGACCAATCACAGCAGCGGAGGGGCGTGGCCAAGGAACGCGTGGGAGAAGATGGCGGACGACGGCGCGGCGAAGCGCCCCAAAGGCGTGCAGGTGGGGCGCGGGGCGGTTGCTGCGGTTCCGGCTCCCCGAGGGGAGCGCGGGGGTAACGGCCGCTGTGCCCGCAGGTTGAGGACAGGAAGGTGAACTGGCGGCGCTGGAAGCAAGAGAGTAAGGCCGAGGAGGGGAGCGGAGCCATGGGGGGGCTCGGCGGGGTCCGGCGCTGCCGGCCCTGAGCGCTGCCGGCCCGGCCGTTAAGCGGAGGGGCTTCGTGTCCGTGCCAGGGAAAGCAGAGAAGAAGAAATGGAAGGAGCTGAACCTGCTGAAGAAGCTGGAAAAGCAGCGGGTGCGGGAGCTGGCGGAGAAACAGGCGAAGGAGGAGGAGGAGGAACAGCAGCAACAGCAGGAGGACAGAGGTGCAGCCGCTGGGGGGCCGAGGTGGAAATGGTCCGTAATGTGCGCCGCGCGCGGCCGGGGGGCGAACCCTGCTGACCGCCTCCTGCCCCCAGGGCGGCACTACACGCTGAGCGTGGCCCTGCCGGGCTCCATCCTGAACAACGCGCAGTCGCTGGAGCTGCGGACGTACCTGGCCGGGCAGATCGCTCGAGCGTGTGCCATCTTCTGCGTGGATGAGATCGTGGTGTTCGACGAGCATGGAGAAGATGCCAAGTAAGGATGAGCTGTGTTGGTCTGCGGGAAGCTTCTCCTCTGTGCTCCTGCGGTCTTTTTTTTAGCTGAGATCGGGAAAGAAATGTCTGGACCCCAAGCAAGTGCTCCTAACACCAGGATCACAGGGGATCACAGGGCCCTCTGGGGGCAGAGATGGTCATTTACCTGTGCTGGAAGCTGGGACACAGGGATGATGGGGATGCTTTGAAGAAGTGACACCTCTTCCTTCAACTTGTCATCTGGACCTGGCCCTCTGTTCACTGGCAAGCACTGCAATGCTGTAGAATCCAACTGCCAGGTTGTATTAAAAAAAAAAAATACATAAAGATTAAAAATGACAACAACAAAAAAAATCCAAGTAAGATCTTTGACTTGGAGAGTTCCAAATAGAATTTGTTAATAGTCTCTACTCCTGGAGCAGTCCTTTTCTAACGTGGCCCATTTATTTCTGTAGAGGTTGAGGGTGGAGGGAGCTGCTATTCTTAGATTAAGAGAAGGACTTATTCTTCTGGAGACCTGACCCTTTGGGGCTGTGCAGTCCTGTACCGAGTTCAGACTGTTCTCTCTCTTTCAGGAGCGTGGAAGGGGAATTTGAAGGAATTGGGAAGAGAGGCAAGGCTTGTGTGCAGCTGGCTCGGATCCTGCAGTACTTGGAGTGCCCTCAGTAAGTCCACTGTGGTCAGATTGTGCATCTTAGTGGAACTGAAATGATAGCAACTGATGATTTGCACGCATCTCTTGTGCTGGAGGCTCTGGGAGCAGGAGCTAAATTCTGTGCGTGTAGCATGATTTGCAGGAACACAGCATCTGATTGCTTCACGTGTGGTTCAGTTTAACAGAAAGAACAAGAGGGACTTGGGGGGGCTAAGCATGGTTTTCTCCTTTTGAATTAGTACAGAGCTAGAACTGACAATTTTTATATTTGAACCTTCTCTAATAACAGGTATTTGAGGAAATCATTTTTTCCAAAACATGGGGATCTGCAGTTTGCAGGTAATCATTCAGTTCTCTCTATCCCAAGCTGTTGACTCCCCCTCCGTGAGCTCTGGCTCTCATTTAACATGGAATGCACAGAACTTAAAGTCTTTTCCCCACCATATAGCACAAGTGAGATGCTGTGCTCCACTGGAGAAGAGAGGGAGGAGGTAGCAGAGCAGCTGTACTTACATTTATGTTCCCATAGTCCATGTTCTGTCCTTAGCTGTTGCTTTCCTGTGTGCTGTTCCAGGGCTCCTCAACCCACTGGACAGCCCCCACCACATGCGGGTGGATGAGGATTCAGAGTACCGAGAAGGTGTGGTGTTAGACCGGCCAAGTAAGCCAGGCAGAGGCTCGTTTGTCAACTGTGGGATGAAGAAGGTATGGCAGTGTGCAACCTGCAGATCCCAAAACAGCTTACCCTGGCACTCTGTCATGTTTGAAACGGGCGCAGTGGGTTACAGGTACTGCTGGGTTTCTGAGCATCCTGCTTCGTAGCAGGCTGGGATGGGGTTTAATGCTGTTGCTGTCTTCTTGTTCATGGCTTCCCAAGTCATGAGAGGCCCATTCCAGCATATTATTGCTTTGTGCTGAGTTTGAACCTCTGAGCAGCAAAATAAGTCTCAGGCTGATCAGCCAATCGCTGTGAACTTGCTTAGCACAGACCCTGATTGCAGAGTTCCTCATTCCAGCCCTAGGCCAGAATAGTCCCCACCCTTTCTTCTCCCAGCCTTCCTCAGTACCTCCAGACTGTCGTAACACTGCTGGTGTCTGTCTCTGCAGGAGGTACAGATTGACAAACAGCTGAAGCCCGGTCTGCGCGTCACTGTGCGCCTGCAGGAACCACAGAACCCAGGTAATTACTGCTCCATTAGCATCTGTGAACTCAACTCCTGCTGCAGTTGGTCCTTCTGTGTGACAGCCTTCAGATTATTAACGTTTGAGGATTCTCCACTGTGTTCTCTTTACTAAATGCACAATTTAATAACACCCTCACCACAGCTCCTAGTTTATTGGGAAGAACTGTCAGCTCTTTGATCAACAATCCGTAGTCCAAGCATGCTCACTTTCCAGAAGGCACCAAAAGGGTGGCTCTTGGCTGTGCAACAAAATGGTGCCTTAACACAGGAGAAACCTCAGGATGTGGGTAGTGAAATTCAGCTCTTATCAGGTGATCGCTGGGGTTGTTCATCTCTTTGCTCCCTTTCAGAAACCAAAGTACGGAAAGGCACCGTGGTGTCCTCACACCACCCTCGCACGGTGTCTGGGTTGTACTGGGGTTACAGCGTCCGCCTTGCCTCCTGCCTGAGTAAGTGCCCAGAGGTTTCTTTGCTTCTTACTGTGCGGAAGGATCTTAATCCCACCTGGGCTTCCACACCAATCCCAGGCCTACTGGGTACACTTCTGCTGTTTAAAACTCTCATTTTGTTTCAAAATGGGTTCCACCAGCCAGTGGTGCAGCTAGCACTCATGTAGCTCAAATCTGAGGGTTAAAACTGCAAGTGTGAGTTGCCCCATTCATCTTCCAGTACTCTGCCCTCTACCTCCACATTACCACAGCTCTAAACATCCGCATTGTGGCAACACAGACAAGAGCTGGTTATCTCCATCTCCATTTCTGTGCTAACTACCTCCCACTTGTCCACATCAAAGCCCACAGTGATATCGGAGCTCAAAAGCCCTGCAAAATCCTTTTCCACTGTCTTCTGATAGAAGGAACATCATAAGCCATTTATCAAGGAATGGCTCTTGGTACCTGCTGAGCTTTGAGGTGCTGCAGTTGAGTGCCAGGAGACTCCTGCAGCAAGGGAATTAAGCAGGGAAAGGGATAATTCTTCATTTAGAAGGTGCATTAGTGGCACTGGAAAGCAATAATTTCTGCTGCTACCACTCACCTGTGAAGTGTCTGAGCTGCTCAGAAGGCAGCATGGGTGAGAGCACCACTATGATGACCACATTTTTGTTGTTGTTGTTTGTTTGTTTGTTTTGTTTGTGTTTGTTTGCCAGGTGCTGTCTTTTCAGAATGTCCATTCAAGGAAGGTTATGATCTCTCTATTGGGACCTCAGAGCGGGGTAACTCTGTGGACCAGGTCACCCTCCCCTCCTTTAGGTCTGTATCCAAGTGAAAAAGAAGTGTTTATACAAAGCCAATTCTTAATTTGCTTTAAGGTTCAAGGCACGTGAGATGCTCCCCTATGTAAATCTTGAAACATCTGCACTGGTTAGGGGTAAGAGCCATTCTCCCCTCTCACTCTGTCCCTGTGCTCTCCCATAGGCACATCCTTGTTGTATTTGGAGGTCTTCAGGGCTTGGAAGCTGGGGTTGATGCAGATTCAAACCTGGAGGTCACCGACCCGAGCGTTTTGTTTGACTTCTACCTGAACACCTGTCCCAGCCAGGGCAGCCGAACCATCCGAACAGAGGTAAGGCAGGGGGCTGATGGCACAGGAGGCGCAGTGCCTGTGTGCACAGAGCATTTGTCCCTGGCAGGGACACACAGCCAACTGCAACGCTGTTCCCCACAGCAGTGTCTCAGCCAAGGGTCACTGGCTTGCCCAGCAGGCAACTGAGGGCAGCAGTTCTGACTGCTCTTTGGTCTGTTCCAGGAAGCATTGCTGATCTCTCTGTCGGCGCTGAGACCTCACATTGATGAGGCTGTGAAGACTCCCACTGACAAATCAGAAAAGGAAAACCACTGACCCTGTCCTCCACTTTGGACTACCTTGGGAGTAGCCTGTTGCTGTTCAGACACAGAGAATCACTCCAGGAACCCAGCAGGGCCAGCCTTTGGGAAGCTGAAGATGCAAAGTAACTAAAGTTGGCACCACTGCTCAACCAAGTCTCCAGCATCTCTTGACCATTCTGCTGCAACATCCAACCAAAAGCTGGTCAGCAAACTGTCTGTCAGCAATTCAGATGTCTTGGGTAGAGAATAAAACAGTACCAAACCTCCGCTTCCTCGAAAGTCCACCTATGAGCACTTTGTGTTGGAGGTGAGCAGTCAGCATCCAGGTAGCTTGCGTTCCGAGCGCCCCTGCAGCAGCAATGTAGCCCTCAAGCTTCAAAAGTAGTAATTTAATCCTTGTGTCAAGCACGTGTTCCTGTCGCACAGTTAGTCTGACTCCAGCTCCCCCTCAACTCAAAGGCTTCATCCTTCCCAAGGGCAGGAAGGGCTGGAGCTGCTGCCTTTATCTCAGCAGGAAGGGGGAAGGACATTCAGAGACTTTGGTAAGAGCAGATAAGAAAACGACCAATCCTTTGTGTTTTCAAAGCTTTACTGCTAAAACCATTTTGTGAAAATTATAAGCAGAAATGCAAGAACCTTTCTTTCCTCTCACTGTACCTGTCTTGCTCCAATCCTCCCCTCTAAGTACAAAAATTAACGTCCCTGTGTGTCTTAATGAGCCATGCACAAAGGTATCAGTTACAGTAACACCCACAGTGCTGCAGCTTAGGGGCAAAGTGCAGAGCACAAGGACCTGTCAAGAACTCTGAAGCCTTCCGTACAGCCTGTCCTTGGGACACTGTGTGTTTCACTGTTACATGAAACTGGGGGAGGGGTTGAGAGAAACACTCTCTCTTATTTCTCATACTTAAAAAGGCACAGGGAAATAGTCCATGGACTGCCACTGCTACCTGGATTTGGTCGGTCAGAGTTCAACGCTTGTTTCCAGCTGTGATGGCTTTCAAGCTGCTTGTTCTCTTCAAGATGTTTGGGACAAAGAGGAGCCCCGAAGCTCGCTCAATGCTCTCAATGGGAACCAGGAACCGTTCAAGTGGGATTTTCTCATCCACAGGGCTGTTGGGCATCACATAGGAGCGCAATTCAATTTCTCCACTCTCCTTTTCCAGGATGAGCACCTTGAAGAAATGGGTGGGGACGGCCACATGGTTCTTCCCAATCACCTGGTACTTGACATACATCTTCCCATCAGCCTCCATCCTGTACCAAGAGCAATGTCCAACATTACCTCCTACAGTGGTGCCACTTCCAGCCCTGGGCAAGCCCCCACCACAGTGTGACACAGAACAGCCCTACTTCTGTAGTGTAGATGTAACAAATGCTGCTGTAACTGAGATTGGGGGACATGGGGAAGGTGAGCTTACGTGGGGTCTACTCCTCCTAGACCCCTTCCTCACCTTCTCTCTTTTTACATTAGGAGGTAAGAAAAGGCTGTTCAGAGAACTCAGCCTGTCAAACTGCTCTTCACACTCCTACATAAAAATCACTGCAGATAACTCATGCTCTAAGTGGAGAAACAGTCCATGAAATAAAATCTAGGAGCTTTATTCTGCAGGGGGGAGGTGTGCAGTTTAATCTGTTAATTTAATACTCTACTAATCCAATACTGCTTGTGACTAAAAACTGCAAACCAAAGTGACTGGGTTATTTTGCATCTCAGGAAACCCACCCTTTGTACTCCCCAAATAATTGAATAAGAAACATAGAAAATAATCGCAATGCTAAGAAAACACCCTTCTGCAGAAACCCTGCAGGCTGCTGGTCTCACCTGGGGGTCTCAACAGGTCTCACCTGGGGTCTGGGCTGCTCGTTTCTGGTTTGGGGCAGCCGGGAGCTGCAGCCCTCAGCCTGCTTTACCTTCCCAGCACAACACATCCTCACTGCGGTCCCACCTGGCTCCTCGTGTTTACCTGGGCAGGTAAAGAGGTCCTGTGCAGACGTAGACGTTCTTGTTGTTCCTTGCCAAGCTTCTGCTGTATTTCTCAAGGTTATTCCAGGCGTTTTGGTTTAAGTGAGGCACCTAAAAACACAAAGACAGCAAAATCAGTCACCACAGCGCTTCCTCATTGCTCGGACTTCCCATTCTAACACATCTTCACATTCCCAGGGCGCTGTGAGCAGAGCTCACCCCACTGCCACACGTAGGAACAGAACCCATAAGTGCCACACAACCGCTCTGAGCAACGTACGCCGGGCTGCATACCTGAGGAGCGACGTTGCTGAGGTAGAAGGTGTCCCGCATGGCCTTCTGGCTCCACTTGTGGTTGGCGGCAGCAGCCAGGTGGCCGCGGTCAAAGCCGCTGCCTCGGTAGTCGGCGTTGGTGGCTCGGTGATACTCGTGCACCGAATCGTCCTCCTGGAAGTCGCAGGCGGTGCGGTCAGAGCTTCCGCTCAGCGTCTCCCGGTTGAGCTGCTCAACGACCCACAGCGCGCTGCGGCTCCTCGGGTCGTAGCACAGCACGTAGGACTCGCGGCTCCGCAGCTGCGCCAAGCCGGGCAGGCCGTACTTGGTCAGCTCGGTCCGTGCCGGCTCCGTGGGGGCTGGAGGTCCTGCGGCCGCCGCCACCACCGGCACCACGGGCAGGCGGCCCAGCAGCCCCTCCGCCACCTCTGTGCCCCCAGCGCCGCGCTGCCAGCGGGCGGTCAAAGCTGCGCCCAGCCCTGCGCCCAGAGCCAGGGAGGCCCCGGGCAGCAGCCAGCGGCCCAGCAGCATGGCTCTGAGCACAGCCTGCAGCACAGCCTGCAGCACACACAGCCCTGAGCACACACAGCCCTGAGCACACACAGCCTCTTCCTGCTGCACAGCTGCTCTCTTCCGGCACACAGCATCGCCCCTTAAAGGGCTCCACGCACCGCCATGCCTACAGAAGCCTACAGAAGCACAGCCCGTAGCAGTGTGCAAAGAAACCATTTTATTTGGACAACTCAAGAACAGCATTAAATGAGAGACACGGAAGGTCTCGTAAGGGGTTCACAGGATAAAGTACAAAAGGAAAGAGCAGAAGTTAACGAGGCAGCGCCGCAGGCCCCGCGCTGACCGCTGCAGCCATGGGGCGATGGAGCCGGCCCAGCCTGGGCCTGAACACACGGCAGCGACAGCCCTGTGCCCCTGCCCTGCCCCCTGTGCCCCTGCCCTGCCCCTGTGCCCCTGCCCTGCCCGAGGAAGGCCGAGCTGCTCCCTGAGCACGGCCTGGCACTGCTGGATGCCTGCGTGCAGCTGCCTGCTGCGCTAAAAGGAGTGTTATAAAAATAGTGTTTAAAAAGAAGCATAAAAGTAGTTTTAAGAGTGATGAAGTGTTCTCTCTTGACCCCGTTCCGGCGATTCTTTCCAGCCAAGGTAAAAACAGAAGAAAAAATAAGTGTTATTTTGATGTACAACTGAGTGTGCTTCTCACCTTCTGGAAAAGGAAGAACACACCAAGCAGTGCAAAGCAATCACTGACACTCATGGGGGAAAAACACCCTCTGCTTTCCCACAGAATCCCCAAAGCTACGTCTGACCTTCATCCCACTCACTGCTGGGTCACAGAACTCAAACTCAGAATCAGTGCTGTGTGTGACCATCGTCCTGGACTCCATCTCCGGTATCCTTTCCCTTCTACCTCCTCACCAAAGCCAAACTTCCAGATGTCCAGGCTACAGTAAGGGGAAGGCAGCAGCCCTTCCTACAGTAAGGGGAAGGCTCCATGTGCTCCAGGCTGAGCAAATCAGAGCAGGAAATGTCTGCAGGGTGGAGAAGCAGGAGCTGCTTGGCTACATTAGCAAGGAACGACCACAAGCCAGTTCATGCTTCCTGAGCTCAAAAAATGAAAAGTAAAATCATTGTCACCAACAGCTTTTGAGGAATGAAAACATAGAAACTAACGAGGAGATTCAAAAGCTGGTGACTTTTTCTCCCCTCCAGAAAATCCGTCTTTGCTCTTAAAGAAACGAACAAGTCTCAGAAGAACAAACATCACTGCAAAGTAGAGCAGCTCCTTCAAAGCCCTTTGCTGCATCAAAGTTGTTATGAGCTCTCCCCAGAGAACTCCAATTAACCGGTTGAGCAGCCACAGGCCCCCCTGGATAAAGCTGCAGAATGTATCCTACAAAACCCTTCCAGCAGCCAAAGCTCTCACCCCACTGCAAAATCCTTTTAAAAGTGCTCCCCATCACCTCCCCTAAAGAGAACAGCACAGTATAAGCCCTGTGACACGTTGAAAGGAGATGGCAGCTGTTGCTACAGGAGCATCCATCCATATGCCTGGGTCCTCCCGCAGGGGCCAAGTGCAGGGCTTGCACACAACCCTGAAAATAAGTGATGTTTTGATCCCTGTTCACCCACTGCCTTCTCAGGTCATTATAAGGAGAACTATTATTCAGAGCAGAATCCTCACTGCTGCCCACCTAGCAGAGAGAAAACACAAAGGAAGCACTTCTACAGGAAGACAGCATGAGGAGACTCTGCATGGAACTATGAGAGCTACAGCATTACTTTGGGAGAAAAAGTGTTTTGGAGGAGAATAACCCCTGCTAAGGGTCAGACCCTCTGGTTCCACACGTATAGTCTGACAGATGGCCTCCAGTGCAAGGCACCCGACAGCCAGAACTGCTCAGTGACAGAAGGCAGAAGAACATCCACACAGTGGCTAGAGCAGGCAGCAAGCTCCATCACACAGCTGTCCTCGTCCATCCCTTTCATTTTTCTTGGAGGAAAACTCTACCCTATAGGGATTGCAGCAGAGGGAGATGCAGTTAGCCACAGGTACTAATTAGATTGTTTTAAGCTTTCAGTTGCTCATGTTGCATCACTGCAGTGACACTGGCTGCCCCAGCATCACTCCAGCACCTTCCACAGAGGCAGACTTTGCTTGGAATTGTTAACAAGAAGAGTGGAATGTGCATCAACCCATCCTCCTGTCCAGCCTTATAAAATGACAGCAGCCTGCAAAGAGACAGCCTTCCCTGCAGGAAGTAACACAGGTAGGATGGATGAAGGCTGACAACACAACACCCCTCTCCTTAGCGCCACAGAGGCCATCAGCAGCTTAAGCAGATGACTGACCTTTAACAAATCAATACCCATAAATACTGAAAACTGCAGTGTTGAACAGCTACACAGAGATGAGCCAGCACAGCACAGAAGGACAAAACATTGTGGATTAGTGTTCACTCAAGAGCTTCTGCACAACCCGAGCACCTGGGTGCTGGCAGTTTCTCTCTTTGAGGCTTATGGTTTCTGATCAGCTTGACACTACTGCAGGTTAAGAGTTCTTTCCACAGTCTGTCTTGCTCAATGCCCACCTGAGCCTGTAGTACTGTATTGAAATGCAGCGGTTTCCCCCTCAGGAGGGACAAGTGTCCAACTCACAATGGTTTTACTCCAGTAGCACTGGTGCACAGAAATGTGGATTACCCCCAGGAGTCAGATAATGACTGAAATGCTAGTATGCCCACTGGATTACACCATAAAAAGACTCCTTCTTGTAGGTCAGATCTGCAATGTGTCTGCTCCTAGCACAAAGTGCTACTAGACAATATCAAGGTTACCGTGACCAGAGCTTACGCAAGGTAATATCCTGTGCTGAGGCAGGAAACCCCAGCACTATGCCTGTGTAAGTCCTTAAGTAGAGCTGTCTTCATGCAATTAGATGCCCATTTCTTGTGTTTCAGAATCCTGATTGCAGTTAGATATGCTCCAGTTTGAGTCAGGAAAGCAGCCTGAGGTCCCAGCCTCCCTGCAGCAATGAAATCGTGCTCTAAGGCTTAGTGTAATAAGGCTTGACTTCAAACTACACTTCACTCATAGATGAAAACCACCACAGTCTTATTTCAAGGAGACCTCTATGGTAAGGTGATGCAGGCAGTTTCAGTGCACAAAGCTGCCTGCTGTTATCACGTCTTCCCATCATGGTTCCTCAAGGTCTTTCTCATGAGAAGGGGTCCAAGCTGCTGGATGTCAGATGACAAGCACCAGAAGCTGACACAACCTTCTTTTTTTTTTGCACACCCCAGGGACAGCTAAGTGCAGATACAAGGGAGAAGAATCCAGAAGCTACTTGAATGGCAGAACGTGTGACTTCCTTGGGATACATTCTGTTCACAGGAGAAAGATACTTCTATACTCACCCACCAAAATCTACCAGATCCACACTGTCCCTTCCCCATCAGAAGTAACTCCATGCGAGCTACTTTCATGATGCAGAAGGAATCCACCCCTTGAGGGATATGCAGATAGATGGTTTCTTTCTCCATGTGAAGTCATTAAAAAAGGTATAAAGAACTGCTTTTGGCAGCACAGAGGCATTTGAGAGTTGAAAAATCTGGAGTGCAGGGCCCAAGCAGATAGGGAAGTAATCAGTTCTTGACCTAATAAATAGAGGAGAAGGAAGTCTTCAAGGTGGCCAGTAGCCCAAATGCAAAACCTGAAGTCCTGCAGAGATCCCTAGGAGTTTTAATGCACTACACAGGGCCATCTCCTAAGATCCTCTGCCATACAGTTTCTCCAACACCTTTAGTCAGGCTCATGGACTATTTGGAATCCTGAAGTTCCTTGGCCTTCTTCAAAATCAGGTGAACATCAGATATAGGATAATCCTATAGCAAAGAAATGAAGTGTAAGTGCCAACTTAGCATTTGACATTGCTCCACCTAAACAAGGCAAACCTTGACAACAGCACTGTTAGCTCACTAGAACACTGTTAAGTTCAGTTATTCCCTTAACAGAACTCCCTTAACTCCCTGTTCTGTAACTGATCAAGCCCCAGTGTCCTTCAAGAAGTTTCTATTGACTTATCCTCCAGTGGTAGCAGGCCAGCTGACTGCACAAGATCTTCAAGCCAGAGGGCCTTATCAAAGCCTGCACCCCATACAGTCTGAAGCAGGAACTGGCAGAGTCAGAGATATCCTGCTGTTCAGTGCAGATGTTTCCAACCTTGGGCTCTCATAGATCTCAGAGCTAAACAAAAGCCTCTGCCCAACAAATTTAACACTGCGTGTTTCAAAGCTTTGATGGAAAATGCTTTTTTTTTTTTTGCAAACTAAGGAATGTTATAAGCCTATGTAGTCTACAACAGTGTCTCTGTAAGGCAGGAAGGGTGCACGAGCAAAAGACTGTGTGTCAATGGTAGTGCTGGGCTCCAGACAGCATCACTGTGCCCTGCCAGCAGAAGACCACAGAAGGAACACTGCTGAGCCCCTTGCTATTGGAGACCTGGAAAGGGGAGGAAGGAGAAGAAACCCTACAATGCTAGGAAGCATAGAACAGAGGAAGATAGAACAGAGAGCATGCAGTCACATTCTGCGTGTGAAAATGAAAGCCCAGTTAATGGCAAAGGGAGCAGAGACATGACCACCAAGGAAGTTAAAGCAGTCATCCATCTCAAGTGAGCTCAGTTTCCCTGCAGCGGTGGGGATCACAGCATGCAAAGATTTATACTTCCAGTAATGAGCATGCTGTATGACCAACATTAAGATTTCTGCACACAGCCATCAGAAACCTGGTACCTCAACTCAGCAAGACATGCCCATACCACAATCCCCTCTCACAGTACTATTTCAAGGTTCTTACATTGCAACCTATGCCTGCAATATTTAATCCTTACCTGTAGCAGCCTCATGTTGAGAGTGAAGTCTCCTTCCAGCAACTGATCCCGGATTAGTCTGAAGGATGGAAATTACTCCAGTTACTTTTGACTCTTTACAGAAGAGCTTCAAAAAATGGACTACAACGTGCCTTTACAGAGACTTCCGAGAACTCTTCCACTTACCACTGTGACAAATGACTGTGACCTATTCATCAGACGCAATAACACACACCCATAGAAGGTTCCTAGACCTATGGGTTTCATCAAAAGAGGGAAAGAAAAGAGCACAACGGCCACTTCCATACTTACGTCAACATGGCACAACACACGAGGAGCAGAAAATCGAAGCGCTTATCGTCAGCAAAAAGGGAGTCCCAGATCCGGATGACATC